TGGCAGTGCCCTGGTTGAGGGCATTCCCCAGCGACAGAATGGTCTGCATTATCCGCCTCAGTCTCTTGGAGTCTCGGACCTGGTCGCATAGGGGAGAGAGGAGAGAGGGACGAGAGAGGAGAGTGATTAGGGTGGTTGGTGGGAGCTTAAAACCCACGGCAGAGCCCCTGGCTGGCAGTGCCCTGGTTGAGGGCATTCCCCAGCGACAGAATGGTCTGCATTATCCGCCTCAGTCTCTTGGAGTCTCGGACCTGGTCGCATAGGGGAGAGAGGAGAGAGGGACGAGAGAGGAGAGTGATTAGGGTGGTTGGTGGGAGCTTAAAACCCACGGCAGAGCCCCTGGCTGGCAGTGCCCTGGTTGAGGGCATTCCCCAGCGACAGAATGGTCTGCATTATCCGCCTCAGTCTCTTGGAGTCTCGGACCTGGTCGCATAGGGGAGAGAGGAGAGAGGGACGAGAGAGGAGAGTGATTAGGGTGGTTGGTGGGAGCTTAAAACCCACGGCAGAGCCCCTGGCTGGCAGTGCCCTGGTTGAGGGCATTCCCCAGCGACAGAATGGTCTGCATTATCCGCCTCAGTTTCTTGGAGTCTCGGACCTGGTCGCATAGGGGAGAGAGGAGAGAGGGACGAGAGAGGAGAGTGATTAGGGTGGTTGGTGGGAGCTTAAAACCCACGGCAGAGCCCCTGGCTGGCAGTGCCCTGGTTGAGGGCATTCCCCAGCGACAGAATGGTCTGCATTATCCGCCTCAGTCTCTTGGAGTCTCGGACCTGGTCGCATAGGGGAGAGAGGAGAGAGGGACGAGAGAGGAGAGTGATTAGGGTGGTTGGTGGGAGCTTAAAACCCACGGCAGAGCCCCTGGCTGGCAGTGCCCTGGTTGAGGGCATTCCCCAGCGACAGAATGGTCTGCATTATCCGCCTCAGTCTCTTGGAGTCTCGGACCTGGTCGCATAGGGGAGAGAGGAGAGAGGGACGAGAGAGGAGAGTGATTAGGGTGGTTGGTGGGAGCTTAAAACCCACGGCAGAGCCCCTGGCTGGCAGTGCCCTGGTTGAGGGCATTCCCCAGCGACAGAATGGTCTGCATTATCCGCCTCAGTCTCTTGGAGTCTCGGACCTGGTCGCATAGGGGAGAGAGGAGAGAGGGACGAGAGAGGAGAGTGATTAGGGTGGTTGGTGGGAGCTTAAAACCCACGGCAGAGCCCCTGGCTGGCAGTGCCCTGGTTGAGGGCATTCCCCAGCGACAGAATGGTCTGCATTATCCGCCTCAGTCTCTTGGAGTCTCGGACCTGGTCGCATAGGGGAGAGAGGAGAGAGGGACGAGAGAGGAGAGTGATTAGGGTGGTTGGTGGGAGCTTAAAACCCACGGCAGAGCCCCTGGCTGGCAGTGCCCTGGTTGAGGGCATTCCCCAGCGACAGAATGGTCTGCATTATCCGCCTCAGTCTCTTGGAGTCTCGGACCTGGTCGCATAGGGGAGAGAGGAGAGAGGGACGAGAGAGGAGAGTGATTAGGGTGGTTGGTGGGAGCTTAAAACCCACGGCAGAGCCCCTGGCTGGCAGTGCCCTGGTTGAGGGCATTCCCCAGCGACAGAATGGTCTGCATTATCCGCCTCAGTCTCTTGGAGTCTCGGACCTGGTCGCATAGGGGAGAGAGGAGAGAGGGACGAGAGAGGAGAGTGATTAGGGTGGTTGGTGGGAGCTTAAAACCCACGGCAGAGCCCCTGGCTGGCAGTGCCCTGGTTGAGGGCATTCCCCAGCGACAGAATGGTCTGCATTATCCGCCTCAGTCTCTTGGAGTCTCGGACCTGGTCGCATAGGGGAGAGAGGAGAGAGGGACGAGAGAGGAGAGTGATTAGGGTGGTTGGTGGGAGCTTAAAACCCACGGCAGAGCCCCTGGCTGGCAGTGCCCTGGTTGAGGGCATTCCCCAGCGACAGAATGGTCTGCATTATCCGCCTCAGTTTCTTGGAGTCTCGGACCTGGTCGCATAGGGGAGAGAGGAGAGAGGGACGAGAGAGGAGAGTGATTAGGGTGGTTGGTGGGAGCTTAAAACCCACGGCAGAGCCCCTGGCTGGCAGTGCCCTGGTTGAGGGCATTCCCCAGCGACAGAATGGTCTGCATTATCCGCCTCAGTCTCTTGGAGTCTCGGACCTGGTCGCATAGGGGAGAGAGGAGAGAGGGACGAGAGAGGAGAGTGATTAGGGTGGTTGGTGGGAGCTTAAAACCCACGGCAGAGCCCCTGGCTGGCAGTGCCCTGGTTGAGGGCATTCCCCAGCGACAGAATGGTCTGCATTATCCGCCTCAGTCTCTTGGAGTCTCGGACCTGGTCGCATAGGGGAGAGAGGAGAGAGGGACGAGAGAGGAGAGTGATTAGGGTGGTTGGTGGGAGCTTAAAACCCACGGCAGAGCCCCTGGCTGGCAGTGCCCTGGTTGAGGGCATTCCCCAGCGACAGAATGGTCTGCATTATCCGCCTCAGTCTCTTGGAGTCTCGGACCTGGTCGCATAGGGGAGAGAGGAGAGAGGGACGAGAGAGGAGAGTGATTAGGGTGGTTGGTGGGAGCTTAAAACCCACGGCAGAGCCCCTGGCTGGCAGTGCCCTGGTTGAGGGCATTCCCCAGCGACAGAATGGTCTGCATTATCCGCCTCAGTCTCTTGGAGTCTCGGACCTGGTCGCATAGGGGAGAGAGGAGAGAGGGACGAGAGAGGAGAGTGATTAGGGTGGTTGGTGGGAGCTTAAAACCCACGGCAGAGCCCCTGGCTGGCAGTGCCCTGGTTGAGGGCATTCCCCAGCGACAGAATGGTCTGCATTATCCGCCTCAGTCTCTTGGGGTCTCGGACCTGGTCGCATAGGGGAGAGAGGAGAGAGGGACGAGAGAGGAGAGTGATTAGGGTGGTTGGTGGGGGCTTAAAACCCACGGCAGAGCCCCTGGCTGGCAGTGCCCTGGTTGAGGGCATTCCCCAGCGACAGAATGGTCTGCATTATCCGCCTCAGTCTCTTGGAGTCTCGGACCTGGTCGCATAGGGGAGAGAGGAGAGAGGGACGAGAGAGGAGAGTGATTAGGGTGGTTGGTGGGAGCTTAAAACCCACGGCAGAGCCCCTGGCTGGCAGTGCCCTGGTTGAGGGCATTCCCCAGCGACAGAATGGTCTGCATTATCCGCCTCAGTCTCTTGGAGTCTCGGACCTGGTCGCATAGGGGAGAGAGGAGAGAGGGACGAGAGAGGAGAGTGATTAGGGTGGTTGGTGGGAGCTTAAAACCCACGGCAGAGCCCCTGGCTGGCAGTGCCCTGGTTGAGGGCATTCCCCAGCGACAGAATGGTCTGCATTATCCGCCTCAGTCTCTTGGAGTCTCGGACCTGGTCGCATAGGGGAGAGAGGAGAGAGGGACGAGAGAGGAGAGTGATTAGGGTGGTTGGTGGGAGCTTAAAACCCACGGCAGAGCCCCTGGCTGGCAGTGCCCTGGTTGAGGGCATTCCCCAGCGACAGAATGGTCTGCATTATCCGCCTCAGTCTCTTGGAGTCTCGGACCTGGTCGCATAGGGGAGAGAGGAGAGAGGGACGAGAGAGGAGAGTGATTAGGGTGGTTGGTGGGAGCTTAAAACCCACGGCAGAGCCCCTGGCTGGCAGTGCCCTGGTTGAGGGCATTCCCCAGCGACAGAATGGTCTGCATTATCCGCCTCAGTCTCTTGGAGTCTCGGACCTGGTCGCATAGGGGAGAGAGGAGAGAGGGACGAGAGAGGAGAGTGATTAGGGTGGTTGGTGGGAGCTTAAAACCCACGGCAGAGCCCCTGGCTGGCAGTGCCCTGGTTGAGGGCATTCCCCAGCGACAGAATGGTCTGCATTATCCGCCTCAGTCTCTTGGAGTCTCGGACCTGGTCGCATAGGGGAGAGAGGAGAGAGGGACGAGAGAGGAGAGTGATTAGGGTGGTTGGTGGGAGCTTAAAACCCACGGCAGAGCCCCTGGCTGGCAGTGCCCTGGTTGAGGGCATTCCCCAGCGACAGAATGGTCTGCATTATCCGCCTCAGTCTCTTGGAGTCTCGGACCTGGTCGCATAGGGGAGAGAGGAGAGAGGGACGAGAGAGGAGAGTGATTAGGGTGGTTGGTGGGAGCTTAAAACCCACGGCAGAGCCCCTGGCTGGCAGTGCCCTGGTTGAGGGCATTCCCCAGCGACAGAATGGTCTGCATTATCCGCCTCAGTCTCTTGGAGTCTCGGACCTGGTCGCATAGGGGAGAGAGGAGAGAGGGACGAGAGAGGAGAGTGATTAGGGTGGTTGGTGGGAGCTTAAAACCCACGGCAGAGCCCCTGGCTGGCAGTGCCCTGGTTGAGGGCATTCCCCAGCGACAGAATGGTCTGCATTATCCGCCTCAGTCTCTTGGAGTCTCGGACCTGGTCGCATAGGGGAGAGAGGAGAGAGGGACGAGAGAGGAGAGTGATTAGGGTGGTTGGTGGGAGCTTAAAACCCACGGCAGAGCCCCTGGCTGGCAGTGCCCTGGTTGAGTGCATTCCCGAGCGACAGAATGGTCTGCATGATGCGCCTCAGCCTCTTGGAATCGCGCACCTGCTTGGAATGGGGACGAGTGGGGAGAGTGGTGGGAATGGTGGGTGAAAAGTTAAAGCCCACGGCAGAGCCCCTGGCAGGCAGTGCCCTGGTTGAGCGTGTTCCCGAGCGACAGAATGGTCTGCATTATACGCCTCGGCCTCTTGGAATCGCGCACCTGATGGCCATGAAAGGGGGGGAAGGGGAGGAATGGGCAGAGGAGAGGAGATGAGGAAGAGAGGAGGAGAGAGAGATGAGGGGAGGCGAGGAAAGAGAGGGAAGCTGGGGAAGAAGGGCAAGAGGGGGAAGAGGCGGCGGGAAGACGCGTACCTCATCTCCTTGTAGTCACACTCACCTCCTGACAGTCTCGTTACACACTCACCTCCTTGCAGTCACACTCACTTGTCTCCATATAAAGTCACACTCACATTCATATACAGCCACACTCACCTCCTTACAGTCACACTCACCTCCTTACACGCATTATGCACGAGATCCAGATTGCGTTGCACGTCCTTGACCTGCAGGTGGGTAGGTAGGTAGGTAGGTAGGTAGGTAGGTAGGTAGGGGGGGGTACATTGGATTGGAATCCACGAGTGATGAGGCAGTTCGGGGGTGCACTGTTTTTAGTCGACTCAAAAATGGAATCCCGGGGTGCACTGTTTTTAGTCGACTCAAAAATGGAATCCTGGGGTGCACTGTTTTTAGTCGACTCAAAAATGGAATCCCGGGGTGCACTGTTTTTAGTCGACTAAAAAATGGAATCCCGGGGTGTACTGTTTTTAGTCGACTCGATGATTGCGTTGCACGTCCTTGACCTGCAGGTGGGTAGGTAGGTAGGGGGGGGGTACATTGGATTGGAATCCACGAGTGATTTGAATCGATCCTTTGAAACTTCTCTCTCAAGTGTCTCATAGATTGCGCTGCACGTCCTTGACCTGCAGGTGGGTGGGGGTTACACGGGAATCCACGAGTGATGTGAATCAATCATTTGAAACTTCTCTCAAGTGCCTCAAAGAGGCGACTTTTGAGTCGACTCAAAAGATTGTGTTGCACGTCCTTGACCTGCAGGTGGGTGGGGGGTACATAGGATGGGAATCCACGAGTGATGAAGCGATTTGGTGGGTCATATTGGAATCCGCAGGTGTATTTGATTTGAGTCAATCTTTTGAAACTTCTCTCGTGTGCCTCAAAACTTGCGTTGCACATCCTTGATTGACCTGCAGGTGGGGTGGGTGGGGGGTGTATTCTAAAATCATTAATGGCATGGCATGGCCCTCACCTGCTGGTCATACGAAAGCTTATACTCAAAGATCTGCAGCTTGGCCTGGCCCGATACACAACTGGCCACCCGCATGGCATGGCATGACATGACATGGCATGGCATGGCATGGCATGGCATGGCATGGCATGGTGTGGCATGGCATGGCATGGCATGGCGTGGCCCTCCCCTCACCTGCTGGTCGTACGACAGCTTGAACTCGACGATCTGCAGCTTGGCTTTGATGCGCATTTGCTCGCACAAGCATGGACCTCCCTCACCTGCTGGCCTCACCACAAAAGCTCCAACTTTGAAAGCGGTGATCCGAATGGCATGGCCTTCACCTGCTGGTCGTACGACAACTAAAACTCAAAGATCCTCAGCTTCGCTTCGATACACAACTTGAACTCATACCACAACTTGAACTCATACCACAACTTGAACTCATACCACAACTTGAACTCATACCACAACTTGAACTCAAACCACAACTTGAACTCAAAGATCCGCAGCTTGGTTGGATAAACTCGCTCGCACCCGCATGACCTTCACCTGCTGATCGAACTGGCCACATACATGCCATAGCCCTCACCTGCTGGTCGTACGACAGCTTGAACTCAAAGATCTTCAGTTTGGCTTCGATACGCGGCGCTCGCAGCATCTCGAGAAAGAATTGCTCGCACTTGCCCAGCTTCTCCGGGGGCATGCCACAGCCCTGTGAGGCGAGATGAGGAGAGGAGAGCATGGGGGGAATTGGAGGGGATAAAGGGAAGGGGTGGATAGAAAGCAGTCCCAATGGAATGAGGAAGAACTGCTCGCACTTGCCCAGCTTCTCTGGAGGCATGTCACAGCCCTGTGAGGCGAGGAGAGGATGGGACGGGATAATAGAGGGTCAAGGGAAGGGAAGCAGGGGGGAAGGAGAGGAATTACAACGCTCTCAGCATCTCCAGGAAGAACTGCTCGCACTTGCCCAGCTTCTCCGGAGGCATGCCACAGCCCTGGGAGGCGAGGAGAGGACAAGAAGGATTGGACAGGAGGGCATAAAAGAAGGTGAAGGGAAGGGGAGAGAGAAAGGAGAGGCAGATTAAGGAACACGCAGCATCTCCAGGAAGAATTGCTCGCACTTGCCCAGCTTCTCCGGAGGCATGCCACAGCCCTGGGAGGCAAGGATGGGAGGAATAGCACAGGGGATAGGAGGGCACAATGGGAAGGGGAGACAGGAACGGGAGAGAGCCATGCCCTCATGCCCTCATGCCCCCACGCCCTCATGCCCCCACGCCCTCATGTCCCCATGCCCTCATGCCCCCACGCCCTCATGTCCCCATGCCCTCATGCCCCCCCCCATGCCCTCATGCCCCCATGCCCTCATGCCCCCACGCCCTCATGTCCCCATGCCCTAATGTCCCCATGCCCTCATGCTCCCTCCCATGCCCTCATGTCCCCATGCCCTCATGCCCCCATGCCCTCATGCCCCCATGCCCTCATGTCCCCATGCCCTCATGCCCCCATGCCCCCATGCTCCCATGCCCTCATGTCCCCATGCCCCCATGCCCTCATGCCCCCATGCCTCCATGCCCCCATGCCCTCATGTCCCCATGCCCTCATGCCCCCATGCCCCCATGCCCCCATGCCCTCATGTCCCCATGCCCCCATGCCCCCATGCCCTCATGTCCCCATGCCCCCATGCCCCCATGCCCCCATGCCCCCATGCCCCCATGCCCCCATGTCCCCATGTCCCCATGCCCCCATGCCCCCATGCCCCCATGCCCCCATGCCCTCATGCCCCCATGCCCCCATGCCCTCATGCCCCCATGCCCCCATGCCCCCATGCCCCCATGCCCTCATGTCCCCATGCCCCCATGCCCCCATGCCCCCATGCCCCCACACCTCCAAGCCCTCCTTCTCCAGTCGACCATGTAGGTCGACAGAAGCATCTAGCCGCAACCAGCTCACCGCAACCAGCTCACTGCAACCAGCTCACTGCAACCAGCTCACTGCAACCAGCTCACTGCAACCAGCTCACTGCAACCAGCTCACTGCAACCAGCTCACTGCAACCAGCTCACTGCAACCAGCTCACTGCAACCAGCCTGCCTCACCCATCGAGCTCACTTCCACCGCCGTACACACGCACCTTGAGCATCTCCGCTTCTTCCTTGGCGGGGCAGAACTTGAGCAGCGCATCCACCTTCTCCCCGTCCAGCACCTTGCTGTCCAGCGCTAGAATGGCGTCCTGCGGGCGGGCGTGGATCAGAGAGGGGGACGAGTGGAGGGAGGCAAAAGAGTGAGTGAGTACTGTTCAGAGAGCGGGGGAAGGGATGGGATGGGGGGACAAGAGCAACAACTGAGCAGTGTGCATCCAGAGCAGCGGCTTGAGCAGAGCAGAGCGTCCACCTTCTCCCCGTCCAGCACCTTGCTGTCCAGCGCTAGAATGGCGTCCTGAGCCTGAGGGCGTGGACCAGCGCGGAGTGGAGGGCGAAAAATAAGAGCGTGAGCGAGTGCTGTTCAAGGCAGTGGCTTCAGCCGTGCATCCATCCACCTTCTCCCCGTGTGTAAAGGACCCTCCGCCCCACACTCAGTGCCCGTGTGTTAAGGGCCCTCCGCCCCACACTCAGTGCCCGTGTGTAAAGGGCCCTCCGCCCCACACTCAGTGCCCGTGTGTTAAGGGCCCTCCGCCCCACACTCAGTGCCCGTGTGTTAAGGGCCCTCCGCCCCACACTCAGTGCCCGTGTGTAAAGGGCCCTCTGCCCCACACTCAGTGCCCGTGTGTTAAGGGCCCTCCGCCCCACACTCAGTGCCCGTGTGTTAAGGGCCCTCCGCCCCACACTCAGTGCCCGTGTGTTAAGGGCCCTCCGCCCCACACTCAGTGCCCGTGTGTTAAGGGCCCTCCGCCCCACACTCAGTGCCCGTGTGTTAAGGACCCTCAGCCCCACACTCAGTGCCCGTGTGTAACCCTCAGCCCCACACTCGGTGCCCGTGTGAAAACGCAATCTGAGCGCGATCTTCAACTCACCACAATCTCCGAATATTTGATTTGAGGTGGTTCATGTTGGAAAGCATGACTCCAGAAACTCCTCTTGCTGCAATTCGTTAGAAACTTTCTAGACAGCTCCCTACTGCAACCTCCCTACTGCAATCTCCCTACTGCAACTTACCACAATCTCAGAATACTTGAGGTGCTTCATGTTGGAAAGCATAATCTGACAATTGTTGGCTCGCTTCATATCAATCTGAACCACAGCAAAAAAAGGGAAAGGAATCGGGGAAAGCATAAGGAGTCGGCTTGGAAAAATACCAGCTGTTCTGTTGGCACGCTTGGCACGCTTGGCACGCTTCATGTCAATCGATCTGAACTGATCTACAACCGGAACGGCGAGCGAAGGAACAAGAGTTGCAACGAAAGAGTTGTGTTAACTACGAAGGAATCGACTGTCTGTCGGTAGCACCGGGCGCCCTTCATGTGGGTCAGAACTGAAGCACACAGCACAGCAGAGAAGACGAGACGACCACATAGGCGCAGAGAAGCAAATAGGGTGCTTACGGGACACGAGGCACAAGGCGCAGGGAGGCATGAGGCACGAGGAGGCACAAGGCATGGGGAGGCACGATGTAACTTACAAGAGTGAGTGCTTGCGGCTTGGCCTCCTTCTTGGGCCCGGTGTCCTTCTTCTTGGGTGGAGGGAGGATCACTTTTGAGATACATTGAAACTTACAAGAGTGAGTGCTTGCGGCTTGGCTTCCTTCTTGGGTCCGGTAACTTTCTTCTTGGGGGGAGGAGGGATCGCTTACTTATGACAAATACCAGAAGAGAAAACTTACAAGAGTGAGTGCTTGCGGCTTGGCCTCCTTCTTGGGCCCTGTGTCTTTCTTCTTGCGGGGGAAATAAGTTTTGAGAAATTCTAAAAGGGACAACTCACAAGAGTGAGCGCTTGCGGCTTGGCTTCCTTTTTGGGCCCTGTGTCTTTCTTCTTGGGGGGAGGGGCGGCAGAAAACAGATCCTCCAGCTCCGGGTATAGAGCCTCCAGGTCTAACCTGCACCAGATGCGGACAAAGAACGCCGCCCACGTGCAGAAAAAGAAGACCAATTAGATGCAGGAAAATGGGTGGGTTTGATGAGAGCAGAGGGCAGAACAAGGTGCCTGAGCTGCAACGGCTGTGGAGTAAGGTGGAGCGCGATAAAGTGCAGCAAGGTAAGGTGAGGTGCAGTGCGGTAAGGCTCTTATGCAAAGCAAGCAGCAGGTCAAATTGGAAAAAGGGGATGCAACATGTCAACGAGGTGGAGCGGAGGGGGGGGTGGGGGAGGGGACGGACGAGACGGGTAACAAGGGAAGAGATGAGGAAAGAAAGGAGGAAAGAAATTGGAGGGAAGAGCGAGGAGGAACGAGAGAGGAGGAACGAGAGCAGAGGAACGAGAGAGGAGGGAATCATGCACTTGGGGGGGTAGCAGCGACCTGCTCTTCCTTCTGCACCTCCGCCCACATGTTCCCCTCCACCACTCCAGTCACCTTTTGTTTTGAGATGCCTCAAGAAAGAGGAGGATAGAGAGAGGAGGGAAGAGAGAGGAGGGAAGAGAGAGGAGGGAAAAGCGAGGAGGGAAGAGAGAGGAAAGAAGCACTCACTTGGGGGTAGCAGCCACCTGCTCTTCCTTCTGCACCTCTGCCCACATGTTCCCCTCCACCACTCGCGTCACCTTCCCCCAGAAAAACGCCTTCAGGGGGGTCTTCTTCTTGGGGGGGGGCGCAGCAGCTGCAAACCCCCCCTTGAACCCCCCGGGGGGAGGGGGCCCCGGGGGACCCTTCCCCTTGAACCCGGGGGGAGGGGGCGGCCCCTTGAACCCGGGGGGAGGGGGGGGGCCCTTAAACCCTGGGGGAGGGGGGGGGGCCTGGAGGGCCTTTTCCCCCTGGGGGCGGGGGAGGGGGAGGTGGTCCGCCCTTGCCCCCTGGGGGAGGGGGGGGCGGGGGGGGACCCTTCCCCCCCCCAGGGGGAGGGGGAGGGGGAGGGGGACCTCTACCGCCACCAGGAGGGGGAGGGGGAGGGGGAGGTCCTCTGGGCCCGCCAGGGGGAGGGGGAGGCGGGGGAGGGCCCCCGCCTGGGGGAGGGGGTGGGGGGGGGAGGAGGGGGAGGGCCCCCGCCTGGGGGAGGAGGTGGGGGGGGAGGCGGGGGAGGGCCCCCGCCTGGGGGAGGAGGTGGAGGGGGAGGCGGGGGAGGGCCCCTGCCCGGGGGAAGGGGAGGGGGAGGGGGAGGGGGAGGTCCCCCACTTGGGGGAGGAGGTGGGGGAGGAGGCGGGGGAGGGCCCCCACCCGGGGGAGGCGGGGGAGGAGGCGGAGGAGGCGGGGGGGCCCGCCCCCCTGGGGGAAGGGGAGGAGGGGGAGGAGGGGGAGGCCCCCCCCCTGGAGGAAGGGGTGGGGGAGGAGGCGGAGGAGGGGGCGGGGGAGGGCCCCCACCTGGGGGAGGGGGTGGGGGAGGGGGTGGAGGGGGAGGGGGAGGAGCGCCTCCGCCTGGGGGAGGGGGTGGGGGAGGGGGAGGCGGAGGAGGCGGGGGAGGTCCCCCCCCTGGGGGAGGAGGCGGGGGAGGGGGGGCTACTTTGGGACTGGGTGGATCTGGCTCAGCCATTTTTGCAGCTAATGCCGCCTTTCTCGCTGCCCTCTCCTCCTGCCTCCTTCTCTGCTCCTCCCTCCACCTCTCCTCCTCCCTCCTCTCCTCTTCCTCTTCCTCTAACCTCCTCCTCTCAGCCTCCATCCGCCTCTCTTCAGCCTTTCTCAGCTTCTCCTGTTTTTTCCTCTCTGCTGCAGCCTCAGCAGCAGCAGCAGCTGCAGCAGCCGCCTTTTCTTCCTCATCCTCCTCTTCCTTCTCCTCTTCCTTCTTCTCCTCCTTCTTCTCCTCCTTCTTCTCCTCCTTTTTCTCCTCCTTCTCTTCTTTCTTCTCCTCTTCCTTCTCCTCCTCCTTCTCTTCCTTCATCTCCTTCTCCTCTTCCTTCTTCTCCTCCTCCCCCTTCTCCAACCCCTTCTGCCCCAGCAACCCCATCTCCGGCAACTTAAACCCCGGAACCCGTTTTGACATCCTCCTTAAAAGCTTCCCCAGAACAGGATTCAGCTCCGGATCCCACTCATTCCAATACAACGACGGCCCATTCGCCAAATCCAACCAAAGCATCTTCAAATCACCCGCATTCGCCTTCTCTCTCCGTGTCAACCCCTCCTCCTCCGTATAAGTCTGCTCCGCAAACAACAACCCAGGCGGCAACACCATCTCCGACCCAATCTTCCTCCTCACCTTCCCGCCCGGAAACCCAAACATCCCAAACCCTAAACCGCTCCCAAACGGCCGAGACGGCGAGGGACTCCCATCCCTCGAATGCAACATACTCGAAAACGTCGGGGAAGTATCCGCCGAGTCTAAATCCGAAGCATAATCGCTATCATCCAGCATATCCCCTGCGAACCCCGCCCCTCCGGGGCCCCACTTCCCACCTGCCGGCACCCGGGTTCGAACCCGCAACCCTCCGCTGCGGCGGTTTCTCCTCTTGGTACTGGCTGCAGAGTAGATGGTGTGGCGAATCTCCTCTAGGGCGCGCGAGCTGTCGTCCTGCGACCAATTGGAATCCTCGAAAGCCTCCTTGAGCTTGAGGAAGGAGTCGAGAGGTAGACCGCCGAAATCGTCTGCAGCCAGGGAGGTGGCAGCTGGGGGAGGCAGCACCTTGGACTCCCGGTCCGTCAGAAGGATCTGGAGGGTGAGTGGGTGGGGCACGAGCAGCACTGAATGCACATGCTGAAGGGAATTGGGGCCTAGAAAATCCTGACGAAAGTGATTTATTTTTATGCAACCCCCGCCGCAACCCCCGAAGAACGCTCACCTCATCTCAGTTCGGTCCAATGCCACAGCTCACCTCTACTCTGAAATCTTGAGTGGAGCGCTCCCTTGTGTACCAAAGGATGTCCAGGTCATCTCGGGAGAGCAGGAGCATGTTGGATCGCACGTGGGAAGTGTTGAACGCCACTCGCCACAGCATCTGCTCGCTGCCCCCCTGAAGTGACCTCTGCATGCCGCACTCACCTCAAAACTCACCTCCACTCTCTCACGTCTTGCCTGCCGCGCCTCACCTCAACCCTAACAGAATTTCACCACAATCCTTTCAGAAAAAACTCACCTCCACCCGAAAATCCGGTGTGAAGCGTTCCCGTGCGTTCCAGAGAATATCGAGGTCGTCTCGGGACAGCACGAGCATGTTGGATCGCACATGGGAAGTGTTGAACGCCACTCGCCACACCATCTGCTCGCTGCCCGCGCCCTCCATGTCCACATGCACGCACTCTATCACCACGTCACCCTGCACCACCGCCATCACATCCATCTTCACCACCTCCGCCTCCCTCTGGTTGTATTGGGGAAAGAGGGGGAAGAGAAAGGGAAATACGGGTGGCGGGTAGAAGGGGAGGAGGGGAGCAGGGGAGCAGTGAAGCGGGGGAGGAGGAGAGCGGGAAGGTGGGGGACTAATCAGTCGATTGTCTGCTCGCTGCCCACCCCCTCCATGTCCACATGCACGCACTCTATCACCACGTCACCCTGCACCACCGCCATCACATCCATCTTCACCACCTCCGCCTCCCTCTGGTTGGAGAAAGGGAGGGGAAGGGGAGCAAGAGTGAGAGAAGGAGGAGGCATGTGAGTCGACTCAAAAGCAGCATCAGACGACGCCCTGCACCACACCACCGCCATCACATCCATATTCACCACCTCTACACCTGCAGGTAGCACTCAGCAGCTAGTTTTCCCCCATGCCTCACCTGCAGGTAGTACTTGGCGTAATTCACCCCGTGCCTCGCGCTCAGAAACAGCAGCCCCGAGTCTCGGTTCTCCGGCAGACCAGGATCGCGCCCAAACACCCTAATCACAGGGCAGCACCCGCCCCTCGCATCCCTATTCACCCCAACCAAAGTTTGGTTACTAGACTCATGCCTCAATCACTCACCTGCAGGTAGTACTTGGCTCGGTTCACCCCATGCCTCGCGCTCAGAAACAGCAGCCCCGAGTCTCGGTTCTCCGGCAGACCAGGATCGCGCCCAAACACCCTAATCACAGGGCAGCACCCGCCCCTCGCATCCCAATTCACCCCAACCAAAGTTTGGTTACTAGACTCATGCCTCAATCACTCACCTGCAGGTAGTACTTGGCTCGGTTCACGCCGTGCCTCGCGCTCAGAAACAGCAGCCCCGAGTCTCGGTTCTCCGGCAGACCAGGATCGCGCCCAAACACCCTAATCACAGGGCAGCACCCGCCCCTCGCATCCCTATTCACCCCAACCAAAGTTTGGTTACTAGACTCATGCCTCAATCACTCACCTGCAGGTAGTACTTGGCTCGGTTCACCCCATGCCTCGCGCTCAGAAACAGCAGCCCCGAGTCTCGGTTCTCCGGCAGACCAGGATCGCGCCCAAACACCCTAATCACAGGGCAGCACCCGCCCCTCGCATCCCAATTCACCCCAACCAAAGTTTGGTTACTAGACTCATGCCTCAATCACTCACCTGCAGGTAGTACTTGGCTCGGTTCACGCCGTGCCTCGCGCTCAGAAACAGCAGCCCCGAGTCTCGGTTCTCTGGCAGGCCTGGATCGCGCCCAAACACTCTGATCACAGGGCAGCACCCACCCCTCGCGTCCAGCTGTGGCACACCGCGCATAATCACACAGTCTAGAGTCACCATCCGGCTGCTGCTCGCTCTCAGACACCCCTCTCTAGAAGACGGTACCAGCACCTGGCTCCCCCACTCGCTGCCCTCCTCCGCCCCCGCTTTTCCCTTCCCCTTCCCCTTCTTGTCCTTGCTTTCCCTCTCGATAAACCCGTGAGGTAAAGAGCTGACGCAGTGGGCTATGTACTGAAGGTATCTCGCCTGGGAGGGGACAGGGTTTAAGGGGTAGTGCAGTTGGAGGAAACCCCTAGGAGCCGCTTTGTAGATGCCCAGTAAGAGATCTCGCTCCTCCTCGCCGTTCCATTCTTTGTGGAAGACTAAGAATGAGGCGATCATAAACGCCAAGAGAGGCCACCCGCCTCGCTCGCAGTGCAAGAGGACGATGTTCTTTCGCCGCTGCCCGTTACCGCCCGGTGAAACCAACCCTAATTGCTGCAGCTGCTGCTGTTTTGCTGGTGTCCCCCCATCAGCCTCTTCCAGAAGCCTTTTCTCCTGCTTTGACTTGCGGCCGGGCAGGTCAAATTCCTGCTGGAGCCAGCTATTGGTGGACTGAAGAAAATGGTCGATCAGATCGAGAGAAAGAATCGGGCAGCCCTCGAAATGTCTAGGGTACTCAAGAACCGTGGCATCAGAATTCAGAAAATAAGATCCAGCGAAAAGCGTTCGGCTGGAGCCGCTGCTGCCGTCGCGGAAATTGCAGATCAGGATGGAGGCGTCAGAGATTTGATTGCGTAGATCTGTGCAGATCTGGCGGAAATAGAGGCGGTAGGTGGCTGTGGTGGGCACGTCGTTGGCAATGCAGGAATCAAACACTGGAAAGGGGAAGGGGGCGGGAAGGGAGGGTGGCGGGGAGGAAGGGGGGGGGAGAAGCGGAGGGGAAGGGTCAGGGGACGGAGAGAAACGGGGTTGGGAGGGATCAGGGTCGGACGGAGAAGAGTAGGAGGAGGGATCAGAGGACCGAAGGAACGAGATATGGGAGGCCGGACGCGGGAGGCGGGAAGGAGGGACAAACTAAGGGAGTGAGGAGACGGGAGTAAGGTAAGGGATGGGGAGATAGAAGAGACAAGACTGCTGGAAGTGAAAAAACGATGGAGGGAGAGAGCTGAAGAGGACGCAGAGGAAGGGAGATACAGAAGGGCGGGAGGTGGAGGGGAGAACACGTAGTGCCTTTTAAGGGGGAAAACAAGGACCGGGTGACTTAAGAATTGACTGGGAAAATAGAACTGGAGTGATGCCTGAAGGAACTCACGAACTACCTAAGAGAAGGGTCCGAGGGAAGAGGGGGAGAGGAGGGTGGTTTGGACTGGAAACGTGAAGTTGAGTCTAAGCAAGAGAGGAAATATGGGTAACTCGGTCATATGCAGGTACGCGGCTCTACATCCGGAGACGAATACTCCAAATGGCGAGTGAGGGTGCGAAGCGACGCGAGAGGCAAGTAAGGGAAGAGGAGGACGGAAAAGGAAGCAGACAGCGAATCTGGATCGCTCCATCATGGCCGTTGAACAGGAAATATTACATCCTACAACCAATCTTCAGCAGCAAAATTCCACGTACAGCTGTCACACGCGAAACTCACGCGGATTGAAACCTAAGGTAACCCTAAAACGCACCAAACACGCGATCGCTGATCTGCAGCAGTCCGTCCGGAGGCGGCGGCGGCGGAGGCTTGGATGCTTTTTTCCCTCCGAACCACGGCATGGTGGCAATATACGGTCGGTATTTTAGTTAGTAGAGGTAGCAGCGGTGGTGGGGGTGGTGGTGGTGGGGAGCCTAGTGACTTCCAGTCACGAAAACTGGCGACCAGAATTTTGTCAGTAACGTTAGCTGGTGTTACAGCCCGTGTCAGGACTGGGTGTACATGATAGTCGTTCTAGGTAAAGAAGGACCTAGATTGTGGTTTTCGCGAAGGCCAATGCGGTTCGTGCGGGTTGCGCTCTTGTCATGCATCGCGCTACGTGGCCATTACCAAAATCAATGGGCTAATAAGCTAGTTCCTCTCATGCAGCTATGTGGGAGCACCGCTGTCAAGGCTCGGCCCTTGTGGCATATGGAACTCAGGGACAATCGAGGCTAACGAGCCTTGCATCGCGGCTTGCGAAAGCAAGGCAGTCTGTCAGCTGTTTCGCCACTACTGCTCGCGGTTCCAGCCTGTTGCTAAAAAAGCCTGGGAGACAACATCGATGTGGATTGTTTGTCACGTCATTGATTACTCCGCCGGGACCAATGCTGACTCGTTGGAGTCTCCCCTGCCCACCCTTCTGCCTGGCTGCAACGGACATATCGTGGAAAGTCTTGGGGCACTTTGGATTACGCTCCACAATATGGGCAGGAAAGCCTCAATCGCAGGACCCCTCTTCACCATGTTTGTAAACCAGCTTGTGGTGACTTAGATTTCATAAGTGTCTTCCGTTTCCGGGTCAACTTAGTGGTTGGGAAATGATAAAGTGAAACTTCCTGTTTTAAATTTCAGCTTCCTGACATGTTCAGAACACGCCCTGAATTTCATCAACACTGGTTTTGGTCCCAGAATAAACATTCGCGACTCCGACGACTACAGCGGGTCAGAGTTTGTACGCGCTCAGTTGTTGTACCATCGCACTCAACAACAACCGAACAAGAATGGACGAACTTTTACACAATATATATTCCCACTGTAAAAGTCCGTGAAGAACGAGAGCATGCCTTGGTTAGCACTCTCTAAATCCAACTATGAAAAGGGACGAATAAACAGCCATTCCACACAGTAACATCTCAGTGAGGCACGCACTGCAACATCATCCGCCTATCTTCACATCCAGCTGATGATTAGTCAAAAGTGCTTGACCTGATCAGCACCTTACGCAGTCCAGCCAAAGATCCAGCAGATAAGTGCAGAGCAATTTGGCAGCGGCTGGGGCTCAATGATCTCAATCGGCTCCTGAAAGAAACAAAGAATGTTTGCAGCACAAGTCAGGGAGTTAGGGTGAACTGTGAAATTTGACATGTTGCAAAGCGGGACGCATTGTCAGTGCTACCAAGAAACCGCAGGAGTAATGAAGGGGAGCAGCAAGGCATCACAAAGATAGGGATGGTGGGTCGCAACCATACTCACATGCATTTGAAGGGGTTGAGAGTAGAGAAGGGGTTGGGAGTAGAAAAGTGTATTCTTGCCATACCTGGCGCGTGTCGACTGGTTTCTCTGCCTGCACACCGTTCTGATCCTTCTTCTCCTCCACTGGCTTCTCAGCCTCACTTCCCACACTCGACCTCGTTTCTGAAACCACAACCTTTGTCTCTTCGTCCACACCCCCAGATGACGATGATCCAGCAGCAGCAACCACTGCTGCAGCCGTGCCAGCAGAACCCTGCTTCTCTGCACCACCGCCAGCCCCTTCCCTTGCATCTTCTGCACTGCGGCTGCTGCTTTCTGTGACTGCAGCCTTGGCCTCTGATTCTGGTTGTTTCTCTTCCACTGCAGGCGGTGCCGCCTCAACGGCTGCTCGTTCAGGAATAGGTGTAGGCGCTGTTATAGGTGCAGCAGGCGTTGGTTCAGGTGCTGCTGGTGCAGGCTCAGATGATACCGGTGTGGCCTCTGGAGCAGGTTCAGGGGCTGCAGGCACAGGCTCAGGTGCTTTAGGAGCAGGCTCAGGTTCTGCTGGTGCAGGTGCAGGCTCAGCGGCTGCTGGTGCAGGTTCAGGTGCTTCAGGTGCAGGCTCAGGAGCTGCAGGTGCAGGTTCAGGTGCTTCAGGTGCAGGTTCAGAAGCTGCAGGTGCAGGCTCTGGTGACGGCTCAGAAGCTGGCGCGGGAGCAACAGAGACGGCAGCCGCAGCGACTACTGCTGCTGCAGCTGCCAGCATGACCTCCCCTCCCTCCTTGGACTGAGACGCAGCTGAGGCTGACGAATCAGCATCTCCTGAGGCTTGTGGTGTGGCAGCTGCGGGAGCTGTTGAGATGGGACGGAAAGAGCACAAGCAGACAACAAAAGCAAGCTTGAATCTCCTGAAAATAGATGTTCAGTGCACTATGTGGATTACACCATGAACAATGACGCAGAAACAGGAAGAAAAACAGCACGTTAACTGTAGAGCTTGATCAGCAAGTTGGTTCACTTTCATCTCACTAGCTGGAGACTAGACCTAGCCGAAACCACTTCATTTCAATAGAAGGTCTCACGACGGGTTCCTTCATTTCGCCCCTTTTATAACCCAGGTAGGAAAAATACGAAAAAAACTGGTCGCTACCTGATCTCATACCATTACGTCGATATATTCGGCTTTTATTTCGACATGGCTGAAATGCTGAGCAACCGTGAACCGCGCAACACAACATTGCCACCGTTTGCTTACCAGAACGGAATACACCATTCCCTTACCTTGAACACCGACGGCTTCAGAGGATGATTTTTTCTTGTTCTTCTTCTTCCCTCCCCCTCCTCCGCCAGCTCCCCCATTCGACGCAGCATTTGCCTGAGTCGACTGTTCTGCCGCGGTCGCCTCAGTCGCTTGAGTCGCCTCAAGGGCTTTCTGTGGCTCCGCTGGCTTCACGTCGCCTAGGTCGGGAGAGCCATGAAACAGCAAGAATAAAGAGAAGATCATGCAAATTATGCAGATCCGTCTCTATTCTTGCCAGATCCGCGAGTAGAAACGACACGGATGGAAGGAAGATGCAAGCATAGCTGATGCCGAGAGTCTCTAAGCTGACCTTTGGTCGAGATCGCATCCGATGCCGTCGCAGGAGTCGCAGGAGTCGCCGGTGTCGCAGGAGTGGTCGGCGTCTCGGGCGTATCTTTCGAGGTTGCCGTGGACGACGTTTTCTCTGCAGCTGGGGAATGGACGCGGGTATGTTCAGGTACTGGACTGAGTCACGGATCTAGAATATTGGAGTCGCATGAAATTTCTCAACAAAGACATCGATGGGTATAAGAGCTAGCAAGTAGCGGATTCGTACCAGTGTTTACTGTCGGCTTGTTCTTGTTCTTCTTGTTCTTCTTTGACGGCATTTTGACTGAAATTTAGCCGAATGAATGTGAATACCCAGGTGTAAGCTTGGGAATCGCTAGGATATACTGCAGTAGGAAAATGCGGCTCAATACGAGAGGGCGACCCGTTCCGCGCTGGGCTCGAGCTAATAAAAACTCTAGTGGAAACTAATAAAAAGCAGGAAGAAAAAAAACTTCATTTCAAGCAGCAAGCAAGCAATGTCAGCACGAGGAAGGCTGACCCTGACAACAACCAAGAAAGGTGACATATGTTCGGTTCGGATGATGATGCACGGATGTGACAATATTACTATTCCACGGTTGAGTACGATGCTGTTTGTCTCAGGGCGGTTGTTGAGGATTCTGAAGGGATGGGTAGGCATGAAACGTAGTTTACTCGAAATGCTTGACAGTTCACCTGACAGAACTCACCCAATCCAATCTGACCTTGCTTTTACCTCCATCTTTCTCGGCCCATCTTCGGGGATGTCGCCGCTCTGCTGAATGGACAGCGTGATCGGACGGCCTGAAACATCTGTCAGCAGGTTTCAGCTCCCGCTCTGGTCAATCACCGCTACAGGCACGTGGCGTTGCAAATATATCTGTTGGTGCCAGCCAAACTACACCTCAACCATTCCACAAACAAACAATCACTAACATACACGCAAACTACAGGCATGCACCTCTTTCTGGATAAATAGGATGCATTCATTTAAGAATCTAATACTAGGTGACTAACACCTACGTCTACAGTATATACAGATCTACTTGTACGTATACGACACTCAACCTGATTTTGAAAATGCAAACTTAGCCTCTAAACTGAAGAATGTGCACGCAACCTCAACTACTCCTCTCACCATCTCACTCCACGTCCAACTTGAAGCATGCCCAAGGAGTCTTCTAAGATAACAAGCGGACTGCATCTTCTCTCATCACCAAACACATCAAGCCCCATGCACTCTCTGCTGGGGGTTTCACCCCACTTAATGTCTTCCCACTTTATAAGCTCACAACCACCATTAGCCGCACCCATTTCACGTAACCATCCATCCACCTCTGCTCCTCCTTCCATGCCCCCAACTGAAGAATCAATTCCAGCCCAAAAAGGAAACTCTGAAGGCTCAGGAACACGTCGATCCAAATCATTCCTGCGGAAAATCTCTGCTTGCTTTTCCAACCGCCCCTGAACCCCATCACTCATCACCACCTGAATCACCCCGGTCTCATCCTCCGAAATCACCAAAGTCTCCCCCCCAGCTGAAGGAGCAACCACTCCTCCACCATGATTGGCCAAAGCTGGGAAGATCAAATCGCCCGAATCCTTAGCCGAAACGCTTTTGCCTGCGGCAGAACGCTTAGACAGCGCAGGCAACGCTGGAAGTTGTCGAGAGTGCACGCAGGGAGAGAAGCAACAGCAGGAGCAGCACCGTTGATCTTGAGCCACCTTATCCATGGTCAGATCCGACGGTCCCATTTCGCTTATCCTTGTCGGTGGGAAAATAGGAGCCAAGACTTCCACATTCCGCAGGCTCTGCCGTGTAACTGACCCCAATCTGGCCAGAGCAGCAGAAGCTCCTTTTACACATGCTGCCTCAATCGGGGCTGCTTGTAGCGGGCCCAGATCGAATGTGTCAAACATGTTGCTCGCGCTAGCCCAGTCCGTGCCTGACAGCAGAACCCCATGATCCAAAGTCAGGCCGATAACAGAATCTTGGAATCCTTTAACATCTGCCAGTGCACGTGCCATGTCATCAGCAGCAGCCTCCACCAACATTGACCGCTTCCGTTTTCCCTTTAATAAATCCAAATGCAGCTCTCCCGTTTCCTGCTCGGCCTCCTCCGCAGCTCCCGGTGATGGCGGGATCTCACTGCCGGATGATGCTGAAACGGGAGTCCGTGGGGAAAGCGGCGTGGAAGGCGGTGGGGACAGAGGCGGTGAGAGCGGCGGTGGCGAGCTCGGCGTGGTGGGAGTGAGCGAGCACGAGTTGTCACGCCTCCCGCCATCTTCCTTCGCCAAGCCGCCGCGAAGCAGAGACAGGTCGAGTGTGGTTGCATGCTGCTGTTTTTTCTCAAAGCATGGAAGCTGCTGCAGTTGTGCACGCGGGAGCGGGAACATGTGGCCTGTGATTGCAAGCTGCTCCTGCATACTAGCAGTAGCAGAGAGATTGGCGCGCTCTGTAGGGAATATGGGATTCGTTAACAGAGACTCGTTCTCGGAGGGGGTGCGAGAGGCGGGCTGCGCGTGGTTGTGCTTGCCCGAGTAGGTGACACGTGGCGCGATGTCAGAGGCGCCAGGCTGGCCGAACTGCGTGTGCACGTCCACCACTCGGCGCGCAGGGCAGCGGCGTCCGTTGTCGGAGTGGCTGCAGCGGAAATAATGCCTGGAGAGAGCAATGACAAGAGGGAATAGTAAGACGGGAAAACATATCAGGCAGTGGTCACGTCATAATCGACATTTCTACACATCAGCACAACCAGTGCGTCACCAGAGGTGGACTGATCTAAAAACTAGCGGAGTAGCACAATATTCCACAACAATGTCTTGGAATAAATAAAAAGAGGAGAGTAAACGAATTGATCAGAAAAACAAGATGAAGAAGACGAACAAGAAATTATAAAAACAAAAAAGGTCGATGAGAGCATGTATAAGGACTGACCGTGAGAAGCGGCCGCCTGAGATGTCCTTCTGGCCGTACTTGAGCCACTCGTGGCCGTCGTGCGGAATACAGTGCTTGAACTCGCGCAGCCTCGCGCGCTTGCTCGGCGGACTCGACGGCTTCCAGCTGCGGTACGCGGAAGGGGGAGGGGGGAAAGGGGGAAGAGGGAGATTCGGAACGGCGGGGGATGAGAATGATGGAAAACAATAACAGAAACGATCAATGGCGGAACTCCGGAGCAAATGTGGGACGGCGGTGGCTCTAGTAAGCTGGATTCATAACAAATAATGCCGAAATAGTAGTACCACCAAGACTCACTTGATGTCGAAATCTTGCAGCAGCAGCGGCACGAGGATCTGGCTTGCGGGAAGCATCATTGTGACGCTGAATGCGGTCTCCGTATGTCTGAGATGTGAAACTCGTTTAGCGCTAGTCACGGAGTTCAACGAACGCTGATATAAGGCTGATAGAATGCTGGTATAGTGCTGGTATGCCGCAATAGATGCTGATAAGTTGAAGCTGTAGCGTCAATGTTCAGGTACGTAATGCGATCTGCAGCTAATATACAAAAAGTTCGGCTATGCTAACCCACTCCTTTGGTACTGTGGCCGACGAGGGGAGGACAGAAGTGACAGAAACGTTTCCGTACGTAACACGCTCTGTCAGCTGCCATACTTAGCAGCTGACAATCAGCTGCAGCGTCCTTGAATAGTAGCTCTTGCAAGCAGTGCGATGCACAACTCGGCTCTCGAGGAATATACACCGTTAACGCTCGAAACCAGTAATATCGGAGATGGTGTCCAAACGGCAAATATTTGATTGCCTGCTGTTGCATGATAAGATTCATGGCTGCAAGCTAGCAAGCATTAGCCAGCTCCACTACCTGTTGCTCGGGGGAATGCTGTAGGACCAGGGTTTCCAACGATCCTCTCTGGATCTGCGCGTGATTACGCACTATTGCAGGCGGGACAAGGACGGAAGATAAATCATAACAGTATGTTAACGAATTGCGGTACGAAAGAAATATGTTGCGCTGCAAAACGGTGTTTTTTGAAAGTAGAGCTGTTGAGTAGGGTTCCCGTTTAAAACATGCTCCGCTTGCTCTGCTCATTCAACATTGGACTCTAAAGAGGTTCTGTATGGTGATGGGAGATCCATAACGGTTCTGTTAAGAAATGTTTGAATAAACTACGAAAACAATTTTGTTGTGACTGTTGGCGCGATGCAACGGCTATTACGTTCCGAGCAGGGCTCATTTTTGCAGGGTGTTTTTTTACGGAGTCGTGAGGAACGCCCAAAACCTTACGACATCAGTCAGTGCATCAAAACGCTATTGTCTGTAGCGTTGAATGAAATCATAAACTCACCGCGCTCGGCTTCTATCTGAGCTTGTAGCCACAGATATGAACCTCACTGTTCGAGAGCTCGAATTGAACTCGGTCCTAGAATCCCTCAGGCTGTCACGAGCTGGCAGGCAACACCACAACAAAAGGAAAAGCTGGGCTACCAAGCCAAGTACACGTGAGAGTGACAGGTGGGCGGGGAGCAGACCTGACCTCTAGGGTGCCCCTAGTATCAATAACGCGTACAGTTGTCACGTATTCCGTGCTGAAAGTTATTATATACAGCACGTTTCAACCCCAAAGAAATAATTCACAGCCATTTATAAATCGAGCTTGCTTGGAAATTCGATTACTGCTTTATTACTAAGCGCAACAACCCATTCTTACCATTAAATAATAAGGGCCACATACTTCGGCGCAAGCTTTCCACAACCTGCACAGTGCAAATCGGATGAAATTAGCATAATGTCAATAATGAAAGATCAACAGCACCTGAAGCATATCTAATATTCAGTCAGTACCTGAGTGTTTTTGTTCCTCCATTTTGCCAAGGCGTCCGCAGCCAATCTTTCAGCGGGATCTCGGGAAAAGTGTGGAGTGAGCGACATTTCGGCAGCGTCACTTGCTTCCGCAATCCACACCCCTTCCTCTCCGTGAAAACAACCGAGTCTTCGTACAAGATTCCGCCAGGATACCTTCAGATGAAGAAAAATGACAGGGGTGAGGTTGGGGAGGGGGGAGGGGTGTTTTGGGGTTAGAACAGAAAGGGGCAGGAAGGCGGAGAAAGGGGGAGGGGAGGGTTGAAGGGGTGGTGGGGGGGGGGGGGGGCAGGGGGGGGAAGGGGGGCAACAGATAATAAGTGGACGACGGGGAGGGAAGGCCGGGAGGCAATGGGGACAAATCAGAAAATTGGGCATAGTGCCAGGGTGGGTGAGCAGGCAAGATAGAGCAAAAGGGAGGGGTAAAGCAAGGGGAAAATCAGGAGCATCTCACCAGCTTTACAAGCATCTTCATTGGAACGTAATGAGAAACGACAAAAACATAACCAGAAACTCACAGCGTTCCAACTGCAATCACACTCACTATGGAACCCGTGAGAGACGGATCGAGTGGCACAAACGCCCTCTCCCCAGCCAACACCTGCACAGCCACCACTGTGGCCCTGCCATCCTCCCTGCTTGCCACTACCGCCCCGCCAACCCCCCTGCCTGCCACTGCTGCACCACCATTCTGTCCGCCCATCCCCCCCGGCACCCCACTCAGTGGTACATCTGCTCCCCCTCCTGCTCGTGCCTGCACTCCTGCTGCCACTGCTGCTGACGCTCTCACTGCAGTCGGAACTATCAGCGAAGTTTCACCCCCTCCTCCTGGCCGCCATCCATCCGCCGGCCTCCTGTTGGAGCCCCCCCATCCTTCTCCTCCCCCATTCGACATGGCTGCTCCCTGCTCTCCCCCTCCTGACAACCCAACACGCCCACCCTGACCACTAACAGAATGCAATTGCCTGCCTCTGCCACCGCCATTGCCACTGCCACTTCTGCCGCTGCTGCCTCTGCCCGTTCTTCCCCAAAGGCTAACCCCACCCCTCACTCCAACCCTCCCACCTGCGCCAACCCTCCCTCCACCAAGCGAACCAGGCCTCCCCCGAGCCTGGTGCATAGGTTGGGGTATGACCGATGAGGAGGGTAATCTTGCGGTTTCTGCTCCTAGGGTTGGTGGTGGTGATGGTGATGGCCCGGATGGTGTTTTTGCAGCCAGCACTGAAGATGCTCCCATTCCTGGTGTTAGCAGAAGTGGCTGTGCTGTTGGTGCAGATGTTACACCCGATCCTGCAACACCACCTCCTGCTGTTGCCATTCCACCGCTTCTTACCCCCATACCTCTCCCTGACAAACCACTCCCAACATCCCCATCATTCTCACAGCGCTCTCTCTCCCCTGAGCCATCCAGGAGCAGCAGCCACTGCCCTGTCTGCCACGCCCCCACGGCACGCGGCTGCCCCACGGCCAGCACCAGTGCCACCACGTCCACCTCCCTGCCCGGGGGCGTGGTAGGCAGCAGAGCCAGGGGGGTCCACTGACGAGGGGGGAAGGAGAAGCTGCGGGCGGGTGGGGGGAATGCAGGGAGGAACGGAAGAGGAACAAAAGGATAGAATGAGAAGCAGAAGCAGGAGCAGCAGCAGCAGCAGCAGCAGCAGCATCAGCAGTAGCAGTAGCAGCAGCGACAGCAGCAGCAGCGACAGCAGCAGCAGCAGCAGCCACTGCCCCGTCTGCCAAGCCCCCACGGCACGCGGCTGCCCCACGGCCAGCACCAGTGCCACCACGTCCACCTCCCTGCCTGGGGGCGTGGCAGGCAGCGAGGCGAGGGGACTAAAGCGCCGAGGGGGGGAGGAGAAGCTGCGGGGTTGTGGGGAAGATGCGGGGAGGAACAGGAGAAAAACCCATGCGAATCTATGAGAAGAAGAAGCAGTAGAGGTAGCACCAGAATCAGCAACAGAAGCAGCCACTGTCCCTTCCGCAACTTGGTAGACCAATGAAAGGAGACAAGAAATACCTGACTCAGGCTGCACTACCTGAAGCTCAGGGACTGACCTGAAGCTCACGGACTGACCTGAAGCTCACGGACAGACCTGAAGCTCACGGACTGACCTGAAGCTCACGGACTGACCTGAAGCTCACGGACTGACCTGAAGCTCACGGACTGACCTGAAGCTCACGGACTGACCTGAGGCTCCTTTGAACGGCGGATGTTCCAAGTCGGCGCCACTTGGTGGATCGGTTGGCATTGAGGGAGAGCAGTGGACCAATCGCGTCGCGCCGGGTGGCGGACGGTTGAAGGCCTGCCACCAGATACACGGCTCCCTCCACCAGCTCCTGCAGCTGAGAGAAGGGGGAGTGAGCGGAGGGCAGGTGGGAGGAGGGAGGGAGCGAAGGGAGGAAGGAAACAACGGGAGAACAGAGAGGCACCTCAGCATAAGGCCCGCCATTGATTACACCCCACCTTCCACCAACTCCTGCAGCTGAGAGAAGGGGGAGGGAAGGGCAGGGAAACAGTGCCACGCAAACCCAAGCCATGCAACGCTATACCAGGCCTGCCATGCTAGTATTGCCCTGTCATAACATGCTTTGACTTGCCATGCCATGCCTCATGCCATACCATGCCATGCCCCTGCCATAGCATGCCCTGCCATGCCCCATGCCCTGCCATGCCCCATGCCATGCCATGCCCCATGCCATGCCATGCCCCATGCCATGCCATGCCCCATGCCATGCCATGCCCCATGCCATGCCATGCCCCATGCCCTGCCATGCCCCATGCCATGCCATGCCCCATGCCATGCCATGCCCCATGCCATGCCATGCCCCATGCCATGCCATGCCCCATGCCATGCCATGCCCCATGCCATGCCATGCCCCATGCCATGCCATGCCCCATGCCATGCCATGCCCCATGCCATGCCATGCCCCATGCCATGCCATGCCCCATGCCATGCCATGCCCCATGCCATGCCATGCCCCATGCCATGCCATGCCCCATGCCATGCCATGCCCCATGCCATGCCATGCCCCATGCCATGCCATGCCCCATGCCGTGCCTCCTTCCATGCCATGCCATGCCATGCCATGGCAGGCCACACCATGCCATGAGCCAAGCCATGCCATGCCATGCAATGCCTCATGCCATGCACCCAGGCCTCACCTGCTCCTCACTGGGCCGCCAGATGCTGATCATCCCTTCCCCTTGCCGCATCCTCTTGCTCCACTCCCCCTCCCCATCTCCCACCCCCCCCTTCCCCTCCCATCCCTCCTCATCCTCCTCCATCTCCTCCCTGGATCGCTTCCCAGTGAGTCCCACCACCCGCACTTTCACCACTGGGCACACGTCCCGTTCCTTCAGCCCTTCATCTGCCAGTGCGTCATCTACCGCCTCCTGCACTGCTGCCCTCCGCTTCTCCTGTGGCAGCAGTGGCAGGGATGACACGACGAGGGAGGGGGAGGGCAAGGAGCAGGAAGATGAGGACAAACGAGGGGAACACGTCCCGCTCCTTCAGCCCCTCAGCTGCCAGTGCGGCATCGACTGCCTCCTGCACTGTTGACCTCCGCCTCTCCTGCAGCGATGGGGGAAGCACAGAGCAAGAACGTGAGGACAAGACAAGGGCGCGAAACATACACTCCAGCAGCAGACGACCCACCTCACTCTCGCTTCCCCAATCTTAACACACAACCACCCTTCTCCACTCACCACTCGCTCCAGCTGAGCTCTCTCCATGGCGGCACGTTGCTCCGCAGTCAGCCCACCCACAAACGACCCCGGGTCCCCGCTAGCATCACACTCCAGCAGCAGCCGACCCCACTCTCTCTCCCCTTTTTTAACACACCACCACCCCTCTCCACTTACCACTCTCTGCAGCTGCGCCTTTTCCATGGCTGCACGTTGCTCTACTGTCAACCCATGCAAGAACGACTCTGGGTCACAGCTAGCATCACACTCCAGCAGCAATCGCCATCCCTCCCTCTCGCTTACCCAACCTTTAACACAGAACCACCTCTCTCTCAACTCACCACTCTCTGCAGCTGCGCCTTTTCCATGGCAGCACGTTGCTCTGCAGTCAACCCATGCAAGAACGACTCCGGGTCACCGCTCGCATCACACTCCAGCAGCAGCCGACCCCCCTCCCTCTCCGCCCTTGCCAGCCCTCCCCTTCCCCGCCCCAGGGAAAACCCAGCAGAGGCCCGCCCCCGGCCCATCCCCACCCTCCCCGCCCCTGCTCTCCCCCCTCCCTCCCCCCTTCCACCAAATCCTCTTCCTCCTGCTCTGCCTCCTCCTCTCCCTTTCCCCCCTCTGCCTGCTGCTTCTGCTGCCTCTTCCGCCATGAGCAATTTTTCGGCTTCCAGACTTGCTCTCTCAGCCACTTGCTCCCTCCTGGTGAAGGGAACGGGTAAAGACAGAAGGGAAGGGGTGGGCGGCGGGTGAGGGATGGAGGACGATAGAGGAGAACGGAAGGGGGAGAGAGGCGGGGTGAACAGGGAGAAGGGCAGGGTAGGATGAGGAGGACGAGGAGGAGGACGAGCTGGAGGGAGAAAAAACAGATCTTCCTGTATTAAATTCCTCCTCACCTCTTCTCGAACTCGCGAGCTCTTCTACTGCTTCAGCCCTGGCAGAGCGCATTGTATCACCAGGCGCAGCAGCAGCAGCTACCCTTGGGGTGTTATTCTCCCAGAACACTGCAGGATTGTCCTGAGCAACAAAGAATGCAAGATTTCTCACCTCTTTTCAAAGTCGCGAGATGCCACCGCTTCAGCCCTGGCAGAGCGCATCGTACCACCAGGCACAGCAGCAGCAGAATTAGCATCAGCCCCCCTTGCGGTATTCTTTTCCCAGTACATTGCGGGATAGACCCGTGCAATGGCCACACACGTGAGAGGGATCGGGCCCCCATCGTCCCTCACCCTGCGCAGTGCCATTGGGACGGGCGGCTTCTGTCGGCCTGTAGCAGAGAGGGCAGAGAGAGCAGAGCACAGGGACGTGGGACAGGCAGATGAGAGTCGAGGAGGGGGAGCGAGAAGCAAAGAGGAATGGATACAGAGCAGCAGGGAGACAGAAAGGGTGGAGTAGCTCTGGCCGGCATAGCGTGAACATTTCTGAGCTGCCTATAAAATAGATAGTGAACATTTCTGAGCTGCCTATAAAATAGATAGTGAACATTTCTGAGCTGCCTAAAAAATAGATAGGGTGGTGACCGGTCCGCTTTGGCCAGAATAGATCGAGAATGAAATGAAAGCACCAATTGGAAAGAGACAACAGAAGCTCAAGCTAAAGGAGGAGCAGGATTAGGGCTTGACGAGAACTAGGATTTGGTTGGCATTCCTCCTTCGCGTGACGGTTATCTGCTGGCATTTGTTGTGGCGTGGGGCGCGTGAGCTGGGAAGGTAAAAGAACCCTGCTGCTGAGTAGTCTCGAAAAAATGAGGGGGGGTGGGTGGGGCACGTACAGAAGCCTAGCTTGGAGGACCAGTGAGCTGGGAAGGTGCCGTTGAAGTGAAGGGCGAGCGTTGCTGCCGTGCATGCCTGCAGCAATTGAGGTGTTAAAGAGGAGGGAGACGAGGGTCCAAAACGGTGGAGGGGGGAGGCTGGTAAGAACGAGGAAGTGGGTGATGAAATGAGTGCATACACAACGAAAAAACAAGCCAAGCCGATGCATCAACCAGTATCAGATCAGAATCAGGGGAAGAAAGATGGAAGCGAAAGACGCAGAACACGGAAAGTGAGGAAGAAAGGGTAGAGAAGGAATGCCGAGACTAATGCAGGAGGAGGGATACCTCGAGGGGAGGGAGGCCTTCCATGCAGCCATTCAGCACAGCTCCACACACCTGCCAAGCAAGGAACATTGGTGGGAGGATCAGGAAAGAGCAACTCGGTTTGAAACGGAGTTAGGGTTCAGAGAGGTTAAAATTGTAGAGATTAATTCGGATTGTTTAGACTGGTTCATAGCTTCAGATATGTTAATTCTAGGGTTCAGATGCGATCCCACACGTAAACATTACTTTGAGAATGAGTGCGCTCACCCGTATCTTCTGACCAATGAAGAGCCGACCACGATTCAAAAGGTCCGTGAGGGGGCCGTCGAGGCGAGCAGGCAGCCAGTACCTGGAGGAAGAGGGAAGTATGAGACGGGTTTATGAGAAGGGGGGCGCCAGTCACCAGCGTATGAGCTTGTGTTAGATTGATACTTCACGAAAGCAGCACACGCAGTGCGGGTGTCCCTCCTCACCATCCATCAGTCACTTCAATCACTGCCGTCTGCGCTCCCTCAGCCACCACCCCTCTCCGCCCCCCTGCCTCCTGCCTCTTCTCCCTCCCTTCCCCATCCTCCTCCTCCTCCCCACCACTCTTGTCCTCTTCCATTGCTCCCTCCTCCCCTCCAACCCCTCTTCCACTTGCCCCTTGCTGCGACCGCACAGCAGAGATGCAGAGCACCATGGGGCTGCCAGCAGCAGCGTCCCGCTCGCACACCTTCTTCAGTGCGGACCGTTTCGCCTCGTTCACCTCCCTCTCGTATCTGCACGGGCAGGAGGCAGGGAGGCAGAGGAGGGCGCACCAAATGGAACGTTTCAAAACTCAGAGGCCAGGGCAGAGTCAGGTCACTGACCGAGTGCTTGGCACACTATGCTCGACCTTCTCAGTGACCTACTCTGTGACTGAAATCCTTGAGCCAGCACTCTCTCTACCGTCACCATCCTGCCTGCCAGACGATGACGGAGAACTGGCAGTCTGTGCCAAACCATCTCACTGGTGCTCTGCTCTCTGTGTGCGTGCGTATGTGCGTATGTGCGTGCGTGCGTGCGTGCGTGCGTGCGTGCGTGCGTGCGTGCGTGCGTGCGTGCGTGCGTGCGTGCGTGCGTGAGTGCGTGCGTATGTGTGTGTGTGCGTGTGTGCGTGCGTGCGTGGGTGGGTGTGTGGGGGGGGGGGAGGGAGGGAGGGGGCTGCTCTCTAGCCTTCTCTTGGCACCCACCAGTACTTGAGCTGCTCCAGCACCCTCTCCACCGTGAGCATCCTGCCTGCCAGCCGACGGGGGAAGCTGGCAGCCTGCGCATGACCTTCTCAGAGGCAAACAAGCAAACAACATTCGATTTCCTCGGCACCCACCTGTACTTGAGCTGCTCCAGCACCCTCTCCACCGTGAGCATCCTGCCTGCCAGGCGACGGGGGAAGCTGGCAGCCTGCGCATGACCTTCTCAGAGGCAAACAAGCAAACAACATTCGATTTCCTCGGCACCCACCTGTACTTGAGCTGCTCCAGCACCCTCTCCACCGTGAGCATCCTGCCTGCCAGGCGAGGACAGGGAAAGCTGGTACTTTGTGCCAGACCATCTCACCGGTACTTCATGTGCATGCATCTGACCTGCCCTCAATCACTCTCTTGAAACCCACCGGTACTTGAGCTGCTCCAGCACCCTCTCCACCGTGAGCATCCTGCCTGCCAGGCGACGAGGGAAGCTGCGCTCCTGACAGGCCAGCTTCCACACCACCCAGCGGTAGTGGTTTGTCACCCACCTGTAAACAAAAGTTGCCAAGAGGCAGGAATGGGAAGGGGACGGGTGGGGTTAAAGGGAGAGGGGCAGGGAGGGATTGAAGTGGACTCACATGCTGCATTCCTCACAGCCAGCAGTAGCACTTCGTGATCTAGCTAAAAAAGGGTGGGAGTGACCTCGGAGGAGGGCTAACGGGAAGGAAAGAAAGACGAGGGGGCGGCAACATGTGAAAGAGGTTGAACGAGCGAACAATAAGGGAGCAAAGGGGTTGAACGAGCGAATAACACGAGAACAAGTATCAAACCGGAGGGCAGAGACCAGAAGAGGGAGAAGCGAGGGCGGTGTCTCACTCTTGTGTGGCGAACTTGGTTTGGGCGCCGGCTGCTATGAGCATGTCCCTGAACTCCTTCGCCCCAACCCTCGCCCCCTCTCCACCATCCGGAGCACCAAGAGTGGTCAGAGCAGCCTTAGGTTCCCCTTCTCGTACTATTGCCCATCTTCCTCCTCCTTTTGCTGTTGCTCCCTCCGCTAGCTCTGCTGCTGATGCTGAAGCTGCTGCGATAAGATCTGTACGGGTGAAGCACCCAGCCTCCGAGGCTGTTGCGTGTGCTTGTCTATCAACAGTGCGTATCTCTATTGCAGGGCTAACAGGGTTGGCAGGGCTGCCAACGATTGCTCTGCTGGCAGCAATGGCACCACTGGCACCACTGCACGACTCTATTGCTGGGATTAACGGGCTTGCAGAGATTGAAGGGAGTGCAGGCGTTGCAGCAACGGCAGCACCTGTTTCAGGGCACCCCCTACTCTCCACTAACGGTAGTGCTCCTGACGCCACAGCTGCTGCACACACTGCATCTCCAATCTCGGCTGCATCACCTACAGCCGCCATGCTAACTGCATCTGCTAAACCTGCTGCTGCACTGCCTACATCTACTGCATCGGCTGCATCATTTGCTATTAGACCTGCTCGCCCATCTTTTCCAGCTGCTGGTGGCGATGCTTGTGGCGATGAAGGTAGTAATGGTGGTGGCTGGGGTAACGGTTGTGATGGTGGTGAGAGTGATGGCTGTGTGGCCGGTGGCAGTGCTGCTGCTGCTGCTGGTGGTGGTGGTGGTGGTGGTTCTGCTGCAGGTAATTCTTCTGCTGTTGCTGGTAGTGCTATCAGGGTGGGCAGTGATAGGGTAGTTGGCAGTGGTGGTTGTGCTTGCTGGGTTTTAGCAGCAGGCGGGATTGTGAAGACAAATGTGAGGGTGGACTCGGCTGTCATTTTGCGCACTGCTTCTGACACCTTTCCCTCCTGCCAATCAGAAGAAAACAAGCGAAAGGAAAGAATGAGAGAGAAATTGCAGCAAGTGTAAGGTAAACATCACGGCGGAAATACAGGTGGAGCAGGCTGCTGGAATAACAAACAACGACTACAATGAAGCAGCAATGACTCTGAGAAAGAACGATCCATGGTCTGTGCATTGAATTCTTCTCGAGTTCAACAGCACAGCACACATCAATTTCGAGATCACATCACGTCATGCCACAGCAGACAGGCCACAAGCACTCACCACTCGTTCGAGCCCAGGTGGGTACCCAAAGAACTCAGCCATGCAGGGTCGCCTCCTTGGCTTCCCCTCTGCATCCCTGTACAGATCATGCAGTCGCCTCAGCCCCCCTTCTTGCTGTCCAACCATCACTGCTGCACCCCCCCCGCCCTCTCTCCTTCCCTCCACCTCTCTCCCGCCCGCTCCGGAACTTGCTGCACCTGCACCGTCAGTCCTTAACCCACTCGTTGACATTGACACTGCACCATTGTAAGCAGTCATACGTCCCTCTACTGCTTTCTGGTTAACGTCAAGAGTTGGTGCATCGGCGGCATCAGTGAGAGAGCGCATGGGGATGGGGGGCAGGCCAGCAGAGCGGGAGCGAGGAGGGCGGTGTTTGGAGAAGAGGGAGGGGATGGTGGAGGTGGGCGGGATGAACGGCCGCCGTGGGGAGGGCGAGGTGGACGGAGAACGGTTTAGAGGAGTTAAGGGGCGGCGGAGAGTGGTGCCAGGGCGGTGAAGAGGGGTGGGGAAAGTGTGGAGGGAAGCGTTGTGGAGCCGATTGGGGGAGGAGTGGAGGGGAGTATGAGAGGGGTGGAGAGGAGAGTTGGAGGGGTGAGATGGGTTACCGGAGCGGTGCAGAGGTGAGGAGGGGTGGGGTGGAGGGCAGGGGCGGAGAGGAGAGGTGGGGTGGAAATGAGGGGAGGAACGGAGGGGAGGAGGCTGGGCGAGTGAGGGAGTGTGTGGGGAAGGTGCGGGTGACTGAAAGAGTGCATTTGTGGGGTTTTGTGCGGTGGGATGCTGCTTTGAAGTGTTGAAGGAAGTGTGAGCATGCTCCATAGGCCGCATTAGCTGCATGGTCTGCAACGGCTGCCTGGGATGCATGGGCTGGGTGGGCGGCGTGGGTTGTGTGGGCTGTGTGGGTTGTCGGTGCAACGGTGAGCCGGACAAGGAAGCTACGGCGAGTGGTGGAAGAGAGCCTGGAGTTTGCGATGCATACTGTGACTGTATCGAAAGTGTTCCTGGTGTGCTGAATTTGTCAGAGTGGAGGAGAGGAGGAGGGGGTGATGCGTATGAGGAGGAAGGGGGTGTGGAGAAGGGGAGGGAGGAGGCAAGGTTGGGTGAAGGCGTGTGTGGATTGAATGGAGCAGAAGGATGGGCTGACAGAGGCATGAGCGGGTGCCTAGTGCCGTTGCCCACCGGTTGCTTGTGAGGGTCATGAGGCTGGTGCTGCTGGCCCTCCCCACTCCCACAGCCATGCCTCCCACTCCCCCCTGTCCCCAGGTCAAACAGGCTCGCAACCATTTCCTCTGCCCTGGCAAGAGCTGCCCGAGCCTCCACCGCAGGCTCGGCCGCACCTTGTGATGAGGGCTGGGAGAGGGCGAGGGGCCAGGAAGGAGGGGAAGGGGGACGAAGTGCAGATTCCTCGGCTGCATCGGGAGCAGGCAGAGTGAGAGGAGGAGGCGGGGCAGAAGGAGCAGGAGCAGGCAGGGCGAGGGGAGCATGTGGAGGTGGTTGAATTGTTGCAAAAGGTTGGGGACAGGGCAGTGCGGTGCTTCCAGAAGGTGTGAACCTGGGAGCTTCAAAAAGTGGCCTCTCATGCTGGTGCAAGCCCAGAAAAGCACACGCCTTGTCCATTGCAGCTGAAGACATAACAACTGGTTTCTTTGAGGCGGTTTGAAACAGACCCGCTGTTCGGACACTCGCTCCTCCCAGACTGGCACTACCTTCAACCTGCGGCCTTTCATGATGCTGCACTCCGAAAAGAGCACACGCCTTGTCCACAGCAGCTGAAGATATGTGCACCGGCTTCTTTGAAGCGGTTTGGAACAGACCCGCTGTTCTGACAGTTGCTCCTCCCGGACTAGCACTGCCTTCGAACCGCGGCCGCTGATGCTGCTGCACGCCCAGCAGAGCACACGCCTTGTCCACGGCAGCTGAAGATAATGAAACCGGCTTCTCTGAAGCGGTTTGAAACAAAGTAGTCCGTACAGTTGCTCCCCCCCGACTGGCTCCACTATCTGGCTGCACCGCTCTCATCTGCTCTGCTCCTGCGCCCTCCAGCAGAAGCACTGCTGGTTCGTCACTCATCCTAGGTGCTTCCATCTGTGGAGGACCCTTATACTGCTGTACGCCCAGCAGAGCACATGCATTGTCCACAGCAGCTGAAGATATGTGCACCGGCTTGCCCCGGGCTGTTCGGAACAAATCTCCCCCTACCGCCGCTGCACCTGGACTAGCGCCACCATCTGGCTGTACCGCATTCGCCCGTTCTGCTCCCGAGCTCTCCAGCAGCAGAGGCACTGTTGGTTCGTCACTGATCCTGGGTGCTACTATTTGTGGAGGACCCTTATCCTGCTGCACGCCCAGTAGTGCGCACGCCTTGTCCACGGCAGCTGAAGACACAGAAACCGGCTTGCCTCGGCCAGTTTGAAACAAACCTGCCCTTACAGTCGCTCCCCCTCGACTAGCCCCTCCCGATAGAGCTCTGCCACCTGGCTGCGCCACTACCGCCAGCTCTGCTCCTGAGTTCCGCACTGAAAGCTCCTTTGTTGCTGGCGCATGAGAGCTCTGCCTCTCATGCCCTTGAGCGTCCAGCAGTGCTGGTGGCCCCTGCTGCACGCCCAGCAGAGCACGCGCCTTGTCCACAGCAGCTGAAGACACAGAAACTGGCTTGCCTCGGCCAGTTTGAAACAAACCCGCCGCTACAGTCGCTCCTTGTCGACCAGCCCCTCCCAATCTAGCTCCACCATCTGGCTGCGCCACTACTGCCAGCTCTGCTCCTGAATTCCGCACTGAAAGCTCCATTCCTGCTGGCGCATGAGAGCTCTGCCTCTCATGCCCTTGAGCGTCCAGCAGTGCTGGCGGCCCCTGCTGCACGCCCAGCAGTGCGCACGCCTTGTCCACAGCAGCTGACGACACAGAAACCGGCTTGCCTCGGCCTGTTTGGAACAAACCCGCCTTTACAGTTGCTCCCCCTCGATCAGCCCCTCCCACTCTAGCTCTGCCATCTGGCTGCGCCATTACTGCCAGCTCTGCTCCTGAATTCCGCACTGAAAGCTCCATTCCTGCTGGCGCATGAGAGCTCTGCCTCTCATGCCCTTGAGCGTCCGGCAGTGCTGGTGGCCCCTGCTGCACGCCCAGTAGTGCACACGCCTTGTCTACTGCAGCTGAAGACATAGAAACCGGCTTGCCCCTGGCTGTTTGGAACAAACCTGCCCTTACAGTCACTCTCCCTCGTCTAGCCCCTCCCAATCTAGCTCCGCCATCTGGCTGCGCCATTACTGCCAGTTCTGCTTCTGAGTTCCGCACTGCAAGCTCCATTGGTGAAGGCAAATGAGAGCTCTGTCTCTCATGCCCTTGAGCGTCCGGGAGTGCTGCAGGCTTGTGCGTAGGCGGTGTGATATGAGGTGCGACACACTGTGTTGCCTTGTACTGCTGCACGCCCAGTAGTGCACACGCCTTGTCCACGGCAGCTGAAGACACAGAAACCGGCTTGCCCCGGGCTGTTTGGAACAAACCTGCCCTTACAGTCGCTCCCCCCTGTATAGCTCCCCTCAAACCAGCTCCACCATCTGGCTGCACCACTACTGCCAGTTCTGCCCCTGGGTTCCGCACTGAAAGCTCCATTCCTGCTGGCGCATGAGAGCTCTGTCTCTCATGCCCTTGAGCTTCCGGGAGTGCTGCAGGCTTGTGTGTAGGCAGTGTAATTTGAGGTGCGACAAACTGTGGTCCCTTGTACTGCTGCACGCCCAGCAGAGCACACGCCTTGTCCACAGCAGCTGAAGACAAACGCACTGGCTTGTTTGAAGCCGTTTGAAACAGGCCCGCCCCAACAGTCGACCCGTCTGTACTACCTCCCCCCAAATGAGCACTATCATCAAAGCGTGGCCTCTGCTGCACACCCAGTAGAGCACACGCCTTGTCCACAGCAGCTGAAGACAGAGGGACCGGCTTTCCCCGGGCTGTTTGGAACAAGCTTGCTGAACCAGCAGGAGGTCGTGGTGGTGGTTGTAGTGGTAGCATTGATAAGCGAGATGGGTTCAGTGCAGTGGGTATGAGAGCTGCAGCGGTATGTGGTGGTTGTGGTGGTGGTTCTGGTGGCAGTGACAAGGGGGATGGGTTCAATGCGGTGGTGAGAGCTACAGCTGTTGACTCATTTGTCACTGGCCCTAAAGCCATGCATCCTTGACTCCCCTGCTTTCCCTCTGCTCCTTGCATTTCCTGTTGCCCTTGAACCCCCTGCTGCCCTTCCATTCCCTGCTGCCCTTGCGGTCCTTTCATCCCCTGCTCTCCCTGCTGCCATTCTCCTCCATCCTCCCCAAACAGCTTCATCACGCCCGCAACCGCAGCAGCTGACACGTCTACCTTCCTGCCGGACGCACTCTGGAGGAGAAAACCCCCTGGCGTTCCATCACCTTGTGCAGCAGACTGTAAATTGTCGATCGCAGCAAGTGGCTTGCGCTTTGATCCAGGAGCCATGGCATGCAGCGGTGGTATACCACCAGGGCCATCAGCTCCAGCCTTGCGCTTCATTCCTCGGGTTGCTATCACACCCATATTACGACCACCAGAGTTCTCTCCTCCCTCAACCAGCGTTTCAGATGCTCTTAAACCTGTCCGCACTTGTGGGTGCAGCTGAGGCTCTGAATGAAGGGGAGGGCCCAAGTCTCGACTTCTTCGCACTAACAGGGACGGCTGCAGGTGGCGCTGCTGTGATGAGGGTTTCTTGGTTGGGTTGCTCATGGTCTTGTGAAGCGGGCAATTCACCTTGTGGCCCTTTTCAACCTGAAAACATCCAGGGGTGGAAAAAGGGGAGAACGAATAAACGAACGCCAACTCAATGCCTCGCTGGTCTCCGCCGGAAGAATACCACATGGAAGGTGCAAGATTCAAGCAAGAATTACATGAAATCGCATTGCATAAAAATCCATTCCAAGTTACCAGATTGGCATGGCCGAGCGAAGGAAGCGTGGCTTGGCCGACACCAGTGAGGCCTCTTGCAGCGCGTGGCTTCTTAAACTTTGGGGCCATGAAGACGCGTGTTGCAGACGTCATGTGGTGCTTCTGAGATATCGAGGAAAGGAGTTAAGGAAACAAAGCACGAGAGGCAAGGAGTCAGGAAAGGAAGTGCACAGTTTCGAATTGGCAAGATGTGTGATGGCGCACGAACGAATCACGATGCTTGGAATGGACATAACGACAAAGGAAGGCCAAGAGACTTGACTCACATTTTGAGGTTGAGTGAGTTGAAGGAGCTCGTCCAGAATGTCCGGACTTGCTTCCGTTGCGCTGCCACCACTCTTCGCTTTGAACATAATCGAATCATCATTTTTAGATGCAATGCCTCGAGAGCAATGGGCTATGTCCCCTGTGTCTGCAGCTAAGTTCCTCTGGGTGTTGTCAAGCCACAGACAGGAAGGCCGTGGATCAGTATCGCCAGAAGCAGCTGTAGCGCCAGCAGCAGCTGTAACGCCAGAAGCAGCTGTAGCACCAGCAACAGCCGTGAGGCCAGCAGCTGCTGTAGCACCAGAAACATCTGTAGCGCCAGCACCAGCTATGGCGCCAGAAGCAGCTGTAGCGCCAGCAGCAACTGTAGCACCAGCAGAAGCTGCAGTGTTCTCAGACCTATATGGCGGTTGTGCTTCCTTGGACAGTCGTGTTGACTCAGAAGGTTCCATCGCTGTCTTGAAAAGTTCTGCTACTTCAGGTCCTCCTCGCTGCGAGCACACTGGAGAGAGGTCAGGCCCACCGCCACTTTCTGAACATGCTGGTGGAGGATTTTCCTGAGGCTTGAATGCTGCCTCTGGTCCTTCTGCAACTGAAGCGGTTGCAGTTGAACACACAACGCCGCTTCTTGGCAAGGCAGGACTGGCAATTGCGCATGGTGGTGAGACGGCGCATGGTGGTGAGACGACGCATGGTGGTGAGATGCGTCCTGTGCCTGCAGCATCTGAGTCCACCTGAACCAGAAGACTCGTGCTTTTCAATCGAGGCTCATCAGCGACGGTATCCATCTGCTGCCTGACGACCCCTGGCGATACGCCTGACGTTTCTGCTGCTGTTTCTCTCTCCGCAAGTGAATCGTGGTGTCCGTGACCTGGCCTTTGACATGTTCCCGCAGCAGAATGGAGGGAAGCCCGCGTTCCTGGTGATGGGAATATGATCAATCGGTGGGGATAATGAGACGTCTCAAAGCATGCATACATTCCTGCTGGGAAGGTCAGTAATGCGTGGATCATTAGCATCAGGAGAACGGAGAGAACGGATTCATGCGAGCTGGGGAATGCGTGATATGCTAGCCTCTGGAGAACGGATTCGTCCAACGAGGGAACTGACGAAGTGCTGATTATGCTGCAGAACAATATTGCAAGCGAATTGAGACGTACGCTGCAAAAAATCGCGAAGCTCGCTGCTTTCCTCCGCCGCGTCGTCGAGAGTGTTTAACGCGGAAAGAAAGGAATCCGCATAACTCTTTGAAGTTACATAACCAGACTCCCGTGGAACCGGACGACCAGCACCAACGGTTTGACCTCCCTCGACAGGAGACAAATCGCCACTTCTTCGATCAACTACCAACGAAAACGAGTGCACGGGACAACCGATCTCGTCCATGGTAAGAAAGTAGCCGACTTCACTCTTTCGGCTGCAGCGTCAGAGATACGCGTACTTCATGTTCTGGCGGGGGTTCGTTGAGAGACAAAAGTCACATTATGGTATCCTAAATGTATCTCAAAAGTCACCTTTGGGACTTCTGAAGGACTACTGTGGTTTGTTCCATGATCAGCGTCAGCGTCACGCCCTTGGCGACAGCATCAAGGACCTGAACAAAGAAGTCCATAATTCAAGGATTGAAATTGTCACTCTAGCGAGCGGAGAAGCATATAATCAAAAGTAAGGACTTTTGCCGTATTGCACCGAGCTCAACAACCGACTGAACAGCAGCACAAGCAATCGGGAAGCCCCAGGGGATCTCAAACCGTTGGATGTATCTTGAAGTTATCGAGCGGCTGTGCATGCGTCACTCCAGCCCCACAGACGAAAACAGTATCCCAGAAATGTCCGTAACTGATTTCGCTAATTCTCGTCGCAGGGGCCTTCCATGGTTACCCCTTCGTAACAGCCTGAGGTTGTTTTCCAGGCTAATACCTTCCTCATAAAAGCACTGCCGCGCGGAACCGAGCAGATCGTGCAGCAAATCAGGCTGCACCGAACCGAAACGGATTCCCCTTCAATGACAAACAAGCTCTTGCTCATTTTGTCCAATCAGCTTCGTCCACGCCCCCACACTCCTAGGAACCACCATCATCATCACTCCCAAGCTTCGGCATGTGGACCGAGTCTACATGAAAGATACAAAAGCCTTGCATATGTGGTGGTGTGTGTGTGACTGACCGACTGACTATGGCTTCACAGATTCTTATTCTGTTAGAGTGATCGATTTCCTCAGTAGCCGCGTCTGCAGCAATAAGCCGTGTACCTCCTGCATTTAGCCGCCATGGCTAATTCATGTTTCGCTATATCAAGCTGCAGACCGGCGCTGTTGGGGAGGCCGTTGAGTCAACGATTGGATGAGTCGTCCAACTTGCGAACACATCATGAGAGCAGTTTTTTTATCCGTCGGCCAGCGCGGCTAACGCTAAGAGTAAGCATATCGGCTCAATATTCTTGCTTCAATAATGGAAGATAATTTGTCCGTAAATGATTCTCCGATCATCTCTTCTTTCATGAACAAAGTCTGCTCCTCAGTCGAATGCCTAAAGGTTCCCTAATTCGCCGATAAGCAATTTCTTTCCGCCAATGACTTTGCTGTGGCCTTGTCAGCGACCAATTGTTCGCGCCGTCAGCGCAGCGGATAACGGAGCCGCGGCAGCTGAAGAAATGCGCCTTGCGAGGGGATCAGCGCGACTGGAGGGAGCACCTCGCGGGGCGAAGCAGGTGTTGCTGGTGGATCCCGTCGAGGCGAAGCGGCTAGCGCAAGAGGACCTTAAGAAACGTGCCAAGGCCGCGTCGCAACAGGCAAGCGTTTGGGTGAATGATGTATGTATGATTGGTGCGGAGCTGCTAGGGCAATATCATTCTTAAAGAGACACTCCTAGGCGGCGTTTGAAACAGGCAATTGATCCTATCAGCGCGATTCACGGCGAATCTGCTGTGAATCGAGCCAAATCTATGTCTATTCATAGCCAAGACTGGAGCCATGTCACGTTTGTGAGTGAAGAAGGCTGGAGTTTTATCTGCTGACAGAAGACCTGTATTGGGCATGAACATGGGCCAGACCGGCTAACTTTCTGGAGATAAAGGTTAGTGAGGTAGAAGGGGCAAGAAACTCTGGTTGGAACTTGAAACTTGGCAGTGCCGACCTAAATCCGATGCACTCGGCTCAGGTCACGTGCGTCTGCGACAGGCCTGAGACGGGATGAGACCTGCTTCAGGCCACGCCTCACGGCGGCTTAGCCCGGCTCATCTCAGCATCCGCAATGACATTGTGAGCTGGTGTGGGTTGAGTTGACAGGGGCCGGCTCAAGGCTCATTACTGATTGTACCTGTCTTGTTTCACTATTTCGTCACTCCCTTATTGCAGAAGTGGCGGGAGATTGAGGCTATCAATGGTGCATGGGCCGTCATTGGCATCTTTGCTGCCTTAGTGGGAGAGGGCTTCACTCAGACTGGCATTCTTGGGCAGGTAAGAAAGGTGTTGACATGCTGAGAATTGCTGTGGGTTTCCTTTTTTAGGGCATGATGGCTTTCCTTTTTAAGGGAATGATGTCCTGGAGCGTGGGAGCAACTATGTTGAAGGCATGACTTGGGAGGAATGGTTTATGAAAAGAATCCGGTGTGGCTCAGTCATACGAAGCAAGTTCCAACCGTTTCTCCCCATGTAACCCTTCTCTCTTGTTTTTGCAACAGTGTGCACTCTACCTGGAGCTTGTTGCTGGCGCCATTGAGTCGCTTGCGAAGTTTGTGGGAGATCTCTAAGCTACATAATTACGGAACATGGGCCAGCACATGACAAGCACCTTGGTGGTGCGGTTGCGGTTCACTATGGTACTTTTTGCATCTCACATGGCTGTGATGCTTAGTGTGGTACTACCCGCCTCATAACGTGTTCTTTGCTATCCGGCCTTTACCAGCCATCTCTTGTACAGTATCCTTAAGACACTTAACCCAGTAAGATGCTGTTTTTGTATTTAGCGAGCTGTGTAAGTCCGCAATCACAGCATGGGTGTGAAATTGTAAGAGTTCTTTCTATAATCCTTAATTTTGTCCAGAGCAAATGATTACCGTAGTGTTCCTTCCATATCTTTCACCGCACAAAGAGAGCAGCTTACAGACTGTATTACGTGTTAGTCTGCCCAATCAAAATCTCTCGTTCCATCATTCAGGACCAAGCTGCTTGCGAAGCACGCAATCCTCGCTGGCGCTGGTCATGAAGAGCCACGTGCATCGCAGGCCACCTGGCCATTCCAGATTGAGCTGGCGGATCCCATAGTAGCGGTTCAGATAGTTCTCTCAAGTTTCCGTTTCGGTTGGATGCGGCAGCTCTTACTCGAAATTCCCGAGGGAACCTGTCCTCACGGGTGGGTGAGGGGTGAAATCGGATTTGTTTTCTGGAGCTGAAATTCCATTTCATCCATTCCAAATTCCATTCCAGCTCACAGGATTGTGAGAATTCCAATCTGGAGCTTGAAGCTGCTCGCCTGTTTTAGAAGCACTGCTGTCGCACAGCGCGTACTTGTGCCGATTCTGTGTCTGGTCATTTCCACGATTAATTAAGTCAGTCCGAACGGGTTCTATTACTTGTTTCACGCGATATACTTGCGTAGGAGCACGGAGCCATGGCTGCATTGCATGCGGCGTCACATGTTAGCGGCGGGCTGTCGTCAGTAGCCCGTGCTTCTCCTCGCGTCCTGTCAGCTCAACGGAATTCGTCGTTTGAACCGTCAAAAGCGACTCAGCTTGCCAATACGAGGTGTCTTCTGCGAGGAGATTTTTCCCAGAAAGGCTGTTTGCGATCGGCCACGTGGCAAGCGGGCATTGGTGGCCAGGGACTGTCGCAATCGCTGGCCCTTCGGCGGGATGACCAGCCGTCGAGACGAGGCCGTGTTTCAGTGACTGGTGCGAACGTACATCAATCTAGTTATGTATAGAAATTAATTGTCCGGCTGATCATGCATAGTCGCAATGAACTGTCGGTTTTCTAGTCACATCGGGTTGATTATCACGTGTAATTTTCTTCTTTTTCCTTTTACCTTTTGTCCACCGCCCCCTCCCCTTCCCTCCTATCCTCCCCCGCAATGCGCGCAGCCACAGCAATAGAATCCACGTCATCGGGGTCCGACGAGATGGTGGCGGTGAGGACGCGCAAGTACTACATGGCGGGGGGAACGGGCGGCGTGTGGAAGACTAGCGTGTCCCTTTCCCCCCTCATTTCCCTCCCCCCGTGGGCCATCCCCGCAACCCCCAATCCCCTTCCCCCTCCCCTTCCCCCAGTGCGCGCGTCCGCGTCATCAGGGTTCGACGAGATGGTGGCGGGGAGGACGCGCAAGTACTACATGGTGGGGGGGAAGGGCGGCGTGGGGAAGACGAGCGTGTCCGCGGCCCTGGCAGTGAAATTCGCCAACGAGGGCCATCGCACGCTCGTGGTTTCCACCGACCCTGCGCACTCCCTCAGCGACTCCTTCGCCCAGGTGACTCTCAGGAGTCTGTCAGGTGGGACTCAGGTGCCTCTTTCTCAGGTGGGGGTCAGTGTCCGTCACTCGCCGGTCGCCTCCAGGATGCAAAGCCGGCGTGCCCCTACAATAGGATGCAAGAACAGCATGTGCGAGTGGCTCTAGCAGTGAAGCTCGCTGGTGGTTTCCACCGACCCCGCGCACTCTCTCAGCAACTCCTTCGCCCAGGTGAGGCTCTGTGTCCGTCGTTCGTCGTTGTTCTAGATGTCTCAGAGATTGCCCCTGGTGGTTTCCACCGACCCCGCGCACTCCCTCAGCGACTCCTTCGCCCAGGTGGGGCTCAGGTGCCTCTGTTCGATGACTCTCCTTGTTACCCCTGCCGTTCTGTTCCTTCCATCCCCCAACCCGCCCGTCCTGCCTCTCCGCTCCGCCTCTTCCCACCCTCGTGCATATCACAGGACGTGTCAGGGGGAACGCCTGTGGCTGTGGAGGGAACGGACCTGCCTCTGTTCGCCATGGAGGTGCGTACAACGGAGGGCGTGTGTGACTATACTGGGGGGCACGGTCCTCTGCAGGCAGGGAGGGGTGGGGAGTGTGGGAAGTGGGGGGTGGGGGGGATGGGGGGGTTGTCAGGAGAGGAGGAGGGAGGCTTAAAAACACATGAACTGTCAGGGGGTGTCAGGAAGGAGATATGTTGAAGTGCACAGAGTATGTGTAAGACACGCATTCACAGTTTTTTTAGGCGCCTCAAAATACACCTCACTGCTCGCGGAAGGAGATATGTTGAAGTGCACAGAGTATGTGTAAGACACGCATTCACTGTTCCCCTCTCCCTGAAACACATCATCTCGTCTTTCCCCTTCTCCCTGACGCCAGAAATCTCCACTCTATGTGACACCAGCGATCTCCATTTTATCTGTTTGTGTATGGCATGGCAACATCGACCCAGAGCAGGCGCGGGAGGAGTTTCGGACAGCAACAGGCAAGGATGGCGGCAAGGGCGTGAAGGACTTCTACTCATCTTTTTCTGCATCCCATCCCATCCCATCCCATCCCATCCCATCCCATCCCATCCCATCCCTGCGTGGCAACAGATCGACCCAGAGCAGGCGCGCGAGGAGTTTCGGACAGCAACAGGGAAGGATGGCGGCAAGGGCGTGAAGGACTTTATGGACTCAGTGGGGCTGGGCGGCTGGGTGGACCAGGTTCGTGTCGGGTGGTGGGGCACCTTATAATGAGGATAATCGTGTGATTTATGTTTTCATAGGGTGGTTTGGATGGAGGATGGCGGCAAGGGCGTGAAGGGCTTCATGGACTCAGTGGGGCTGGGCGGCTGGGTCGATCAGGTGCGTGCGGCAGCTCTAGGGTGGCCTGTAACGAGGATAAGGATTTCGTGCATATCTTTTTTAATGTGCGTTGGGCTTTGGACGGGCCCAAGGGCGTGACGGAGTTCATGGACTCAGTGGGGCTGGGCGGCTGGGTTGACCAGGTTCGTGTTGTGTTGTGAATTACGTTGGAGTTGTGAGGCACCTCATAACGAGGATTACCTGGGGTTGTGACTAAGTTGACTTGGGTTTAAGCAAGGGCGTGAAGGACTTCATTGACTCCATGGGGCTGGGCGGCTGGCTAGGCTACACCTGGGCGGCTGGCTAGGCTACACCAGGCCAGTGATCTGGACAGTTTTGGATCCCCATTGCAATGCCAGCCACACCATTGCATCCTCTCTCCGCACCGCCTCTCCTTCCCCCTTTCCCCTTTCTCTCCCTTCCGTTCTTCCCTGCGATTGCGGTCTGCAGTTGAGCGAGCTGAAGCTGGGACAGACAGCTCAGTTGAGGGTGATCTTGACCACGACTTGTCTGTCCCTCTCCACCCTCCCCTCTCCCCCCTCCCCTCTCGCCCGCGATTGCGGTCTGCAGTTGAGCGAGCTGAAGCTGGGCGAGCTGCTGGACACGCCACCGCCTGGGCTGGACGAGGCTGTCGCCATCGCCAAGGTGGGTGGGGGTGCGGGGTGGGGGGAGAGCGGGGAGGGGGGTTTGGGGTGAAGGGTAGGGTTGGAAGGAATCTGTTCGAGCTGCTGGACACGCCACCGCCTGGGCTGGACGAGGCTGTCGCCATCGCCAAGGTGGGTGGGGGTGCGGGGTGGGGGGAGAGCGGGGAGGGGGGTTTGGGGTGAAGGGTAGGGTTGGAAGGAATCTGTTCGAGCTGCTGGACACGCCACCGCCTGGGCTGGACGAGGCTGTCGCCATCGCCAAGGTGGGTGTAGAGGTGGTGTGGGGTACGGGGAAAGAGCTAGAGGCGGATAGGGTTGGAAGTAAGCTGGGCTAGAGTGCACGCCATTGTTTGTGCCAGGACGCGGCAGTTGTCATAGGTAAGATGACTCTTGAGTCGACTCAAAAGTCATTTTGTTGCGGTTGTCATGTCATAGCCAAGGTAAGACTTTTGGGTCGACTCAAAAGTCACCTCGTTGCAGTTGTCATAGCCAAGATAGGTGGGGGGTTGGGGTGGGGAGTGAATGGAGGGCCGAAGTGCAGACTGGATTGGAACGTGGATGGAAGCTGGGAAGTCGAGGCGGTGGTGATTGCAAAGGTGGTTGTGCAGTGCAGTTCAGTTCATGCAAACCCCCGAGTGCAACAACTTCACTCTCATCATCCGCTCTTCTCCTCGTACCTCCTCTCACCTCCTCTCACCTCCTCTCGCCTCCTCTCACCTCCTCTCACCCCTCTCCACCCTTCTCCACCTCTCTCCACCACTCTCAAACTCCTGTTCTTCCCCCAGGTGGTGCAGTTCATGCAATCGCCCGAGTACAGCGACTTCACTCGCATTGTCTTCGACACTGCACCCACGGTAAGTCATTTGGAGTCGGCTTTCTAGTCGTTTATAAGAAAGTCGCACCTACTGTGGGTCATTTGATGTGCATGATCATGCTCTTCATGCAATCGCCCGAGAACAGCAACTTCACTCGCATCATCTTTGACACTGCACTCACGGTGCGCCCTATGACGTGCTTTCTCATTCCCATTCCCATCCCTATCCCTATCCCCATCCCCATCCCCATCCCCATCCCCATCCCCATCCCCGTACCCTCCGTGTTTTTGTATCTACATATCCCTTCCTCCATTCTATCACATTCTCTTGATGTATGTTCGTTCTTTGAGTGACGGCACTGTTCCGGATGCCTGAATCCATCTTCCTCGCCTATCTTTGACAGGTACATCTTCCTCACTTTTCTTTTTTTTTTCATCATTATTACTTCCTCGCGTCGTGTGTGTGTGTGTGTCCCCTTTCCCCCACATCTCTCTCCGCCAGGGGCACACGCTTCGGCTCCTTTCCCTCCCCGACTTCCTGGATGCTTCCATTGGGAAAATCCTCACTGTGAGCACTCCTACACTCACTTACTCTGGTGAGTAAATCCACACTTGCTCTAGGAGCAAGGCTACCAATATTATATCTTCAAAGTAACTGCCTTCATGTTGAATCGTTCCCCTTCCCTGCCAGCAGCCCTTTCTCTTTCATATTTCTGAACTCGGTTTCTTGACTGTCCTCTTCCGCTACCCTCTACTGTGCACGCAGCTCAAGTCCAAGATTTGCTATGCCACGTCAACTGGCAGTCAGGTCCCCTTTTGAGGTGTCTCAAAATATTTTCCTCCCTCTCACTGCCTGTGTGCTGCACGGTTCTCATTCCCCGCGCGCAGCTCAAGAACAAGATCAGCTCTGCCACGTCAGCAGTCAAGTCTCTCTTTGGGCAGGAGGATGGCAAGCCTGACACAGCGGTGAGTGAGGGGTGGGGAGTGGTGGGAGGAGTTGGGTAAAGCTGGGGGGAGGTGAGAGGAGGTGGGGAGAGGTTGAGGGAGGTGGAAGAGCTTCGTGCTGAGTTGATTCACGAGTCAGCTTAACTGTACCCTCTGACTGTGACACTGCATCACTGTATCAATATGTGGCCATATTTCCATCTGACTGTTTATGCATGTGACAATTCCGAATGTGACTGCAGGTGGAGAAGTTGGAGCAGCTGAAGGAGCGGATGGTGATGGTGAGGGAGATTTTCCGCGACCAGAAGGCCACCGAGTTCATTATAGTCACAATCCCCACCATCATGGCTATTAACGAGAGCTCCCGCCTGCTGAAATCTCTGGAGGTGGAGGGCGTGCCAGTGAAGCGGCTTATAGTGAATCAGATCCTGCCCAAATCCAACAGCGACTGCAAATTCTGCAACATCAAACGGAAGGTACACTTACTGTGCAACATTAAATGGAAGGTACACTTACCGTGCAACGTCAAACGGAAGGTACACTTGCTGTGCAACTTCAAACGAAAAGGTGCTCTGTAAATGTGAGATGACTCGCAAAAAGCCAGTGAAGTGGTTTATAGTGAATCAGATCCTGCCCAAGTGTAACACTGCCTGCAAATTCTGCAACATGAAACGCGCAAGGTACGCCCTTTGTGCAACATTAAATGCCCGCTTTGGTGGTGACGTTTCAAAACGCGTCTCTTGAGGCGCCTCGAGAGACATTACGAAAGGCGTCTCACAAGTCGACACCAAGTGCACGGTACACCTTTTTTGTTGAGTGCTCTTCATTCGCCTGCCCTTGTATTCGCTTCACATTACTTTTTTTTCACTCCATCTCAAGGGCAGGCGAAACTACTCTACTTTAATCAGATTACTCCTCTTCTCACTTCCTGTCCTGCCCTGCTGTCTCTTCATCACCTTTGGTTCAAATGTCATCTGGACAACCACGTATTCCGTTGTGTTCCCCTGTTATCATTTCCACCTAATGCAATACCCACCCACCCACCTACATTCCTTGCTCCCTCTCCTTCCCCCCTCACCTCCTTGCCACAGGACCAACAACGAGCGTTTGTGGAGGCAGGCAGGGAGCCGAGCCACCTGAGAGTGATTCAATCGCCTCCTGCTCACCCTTCCTGCTGTTGCGTCTGTCCCTCCCTGCATCCCCCCATCACCTCCTCACCACAGGAACAGCAACGAGCGCTAGACATTGTGCAGACAGGCAAGGAGCTGACTCACCTGTGGGTGATTCGATCGCCGTCTCTTTACCCTTCCTGCTCTTGCCTCTGTGCCTCTCTCGCCCCCGGACACCTCCTCACCGCAGGACCAGCAACGGGCATTAGACATTAGACATTGTGTAGGCGGACAGAGAGTTGAGCCACCTGAAGGTGATTCACTCGCCACCTCCTTACCCTTCCTGCCCTTGCCTTTGTGCCTCCCTGCATCTCCCCCGCTTTTCCTCCTCACCGTAGGACCAGCAACGGGCATTAGACATTGTGGAGGCAGACCAGGACCTGAGCCACCTGAGGGTGATTCAATCGCCGCTCTTTGACCTTGAAATCCGCGGTGTGCCTGCTCTCAAGTTCATGGGGGACCTGGTCTGGCGGTAGTGCCTAGTTACGTGGGTGTGCCTTGTGTGGCGGTGGTGCCTTGTTTTTTTAGGCGCATCAGAATCACATGACAGCTCCAAGGACAATCTCCAATCATTGCTCCAACAATGAGCCCTTGTCATTTACAAACCCGCTTCTACATATGATGCTCAATTGCTGCCCGCGAATTTTCCCTGCCCATATTCGATTCCCTTCCCACGAACAATTGGTGCCGGGAAGTTGCAACCAGTTTGCAAGCCTCCCAAGCAAGTTGCAGTGATGATGAACCAATAGTAACGAAGAGACCGACCTCAAACTGTCAACGTATAACTAATGAGTTTTTAATAAGCCCTTTTTTGCTAGCTGAGACGCTGACTAAACCCTGCTAAATGCAAGAATCTCTTAAAAGCCCAAAATGTAAGGCAAGTATGGGGGACTCGAATGAGCATAAGCTGTACCAAGAAATCGTATGACTTGCCTCACGTGGCATGCTGATTGGGTAAAAATATCGCCTACAACCACCCACCGCCATCGTTAACCAATACCTCTGATCGGTTAAAAGCCTAGTGCTGTCGCTAGCCAATCCAGCTGCACATCCAGCTAGCCTCCGCCGCTTTAGTCGCAGAACCAGCATCGCGTATTTTGACTCACAAACGACATTCGTCAAAATGTGCCTAAGTATGCGAATCTACCGCTCGCCGCCTAGATCTGTTGCAAAACTTGGACTCTTGGTCGCTTCTGGCTCAATTACAGATCTAGGACTCTGGTTCAAATTCAGCTCTTGTGTAGTGTACAAGTGGTGTGAGCGAGACAGAATGTGTGCGGCCAGGTGTGCTGCTGCTGAGTCAGGAGCTGAATCTGACGCTGTACAGTACGAGTCGCTCCGATTTGTCTCACGCTCTGGCCTTTTACGACTCATAGTTACACCCTGTATCTCGCTACACTAAACCGCGTAATAACGCTACTGTTTCTTGATAGCATTCGGAATTTTGCCAATACCGAAACCAGTCAACCGTCCCTAGCACGCGGGTGTGTGAGGGGAGTTTCTCAAGATATATTTTTCCTAGATACCCTAGCTAGCCATTCCAGAATGTCCAGAGACCTTTCTAAAGCGGTCTAAACCACACTGGATCGCTCTGGTTCAAAAGTTCACTATAGGTGGGTGATAGCACGCTTCTGTACGGGGTTAGATTTTAGTAACAGCTAATTCAGTATGGAAAAATTCACTATGGCGAAAAACAGGGTGTATTCGTGGATTTGTTTTCATGAATTTTTATACAGTAGATTTCGTAATTGTGGTTGAACTGCTGGTGCGCTGTGTCGCCCATCATCGAGCCACGCCCGCACGCTGCCACAACCCGAAGCATGGCGGCAGGCAGCAAGGAACGAAACAGCAGCATCATGCCATCATGCCAGCCCCTCGATATCTTCTTCGACCCCCATCCCATACCTCTCGCTGGCTTGCCAACGACGCCCCCCCTCCCCTCCCAAACACCCCCCCTCCCCCCCACCCCCCCCCCCCCCCACACCCCCTCCTTCTCTCTCCCCCCCAACCCCACCCCACCTCCCCCCACCTTCGTCCCCCGGGCCTCCCTACATATCCCCTCCTCCGTCTCTCCAGAGTCATTCTTATTGCGGCAGAGCAGAAATTTTGACTCGGTGGAGGGAAAGGGAGAGTAGGAGATCCCATTATGGCTTCGCGCCTCGACAGCATCGAGAAGCGAATTGTCCGATGGGGTCCGCGGCGGCGAACTACCGCCCCCCACGCGGCGCGGTCCCACCCGCCGGGCCCCACGCCGTTTGAATGACACAAAGTCTGACTATGGACGGTTCATCATGTTTGAGGTGAGGTGAATCCCGCGGCAGCATGACCCCCGCGCTCGCTCAACCATCGATTCCTCACATCAAACTCACACCGCGTGCACAGGTACACACGTCCCAGAATCAATTTTCCATGTGAGACCCGTTTCTGGTACTGTACACGTGCGCACGCAAGACACAAAGCACAAGCACTGCTCCAGAGACTCGCTCTCGATCCTCTTCCCTCCTCTCCTCTTCCGCGATTGCCATCTGGCCTGGCAGCGGTTGGGTGGGATCTTAGGAGTTGGCAAGGAGTGGGATCCGGTGCGTGTAGCTGCTCGACAGACAGTGCTGCTCCACGCGACGACGAGTCCTCCTCGTACAGCTGGTCGAGCCGCCGCCGCGTAGAGTACACGAGGGTCGACCAGTTGCATTCAGCCTGAACCACGATTTTGGCGCTGACATAGTTGTGCTACTTGTAGGCTCTGTAGGCACGAGGAGTGTATTGTCATTTGCAGCGAGGGTACTGTACGAACTCGTTATCTGCGCACTGCTGATCACGACAGTCTGGTTGACCACGACTGACTGCCTGGCTGAACCACGGAGCTTACGTTGAAGCGAGCGCCGAGCAACGCGTTACTATTTTCAGGAACGAGCGCCGAGCAACGCGTTACTATTTTCAGGAACGAGCGCCGAGCAACGCGTTACTATTTTCAGGAACGAGCGCCGAGCAACGTGTTACTATTTTCAGGAACGAGCGCCGAGCAACGCGTTACTATTTTCAGGAACGAGCGCCGAGCAACGCGTTACTATTTTCAGGAACGAGCGCCGAGCAACGCGTTACTATTTTCAGGAACGAGCGCCGAGCAACGCGTTACTATTTTCAGGAACGAGCGCTGAGCAACGCGTTACTATTTTCAGGAACGAGCGCCGAGCAACGCGTTACTATTTTCAGGAACGAGCGCCGAGCAACGCGTTACTATTTTCAGGAACGAGCGCCGAGCAACGCGTTACTATTTTCAGGAACCTAGCATGTGGGATTTGCAAACTCGCACGAGTGGTACTACTGAGAGATTAAGCCCCCTCGTGCGCCTTGATAGCTCCAACAGCCTGTGAATCCGAAGCAGACCAGCTTGATAGACATTGTACGGTGTTTTATGGCCGTGGATTACCTGACGGCCGCGATCATGACACCCAGCAGCAGCAGCAGCAGCAGCAGCAGCATGGCGGTGGATCCGCGGGCGAATCCGGGAGCCAGCAACACCCCTACGCTGGAAGAGGCGGATCCGCGGGCGAATCCCGGAGCCAGCAACACCCCTACGCTGGAAGAGGCGGATCCGCGGGCGAATCCCGGAGCCAGCAGCGCCCCTGCGCTGGCGGCGCTGTTCCCGCAGTGGGCGGCAGTGGACGCGGAGCAGCTGAGGCGTGTGCCTCAGGATGTGATGCCGGAGGACGGGCAGTGCTGGCTCAAGTACGGCGAGAAACGGCTCGTTAAAACAGCCTGCCACAGGTACGCTCTAACTGCTAAACATATTTGCTTAGTGAAACGGCTTCTCTCAGGGATCACTCGCCCTCTCGTCCTCGTTGTTCCCTTCTGCTGCTGAGTTGCATTGCACTGCCTTATATGGGATGGTATTTTCCACAAGAACCCAAATTCCTGGCCTGCTGGCAGGCCCCTTAGAGGCTTCCAACAATGCACCAATTCTGTCGGTCCCCTCCCCTTGCTACAATGCACCACTACTGTCGGTCCCCTCCCCTTGCTACAATGCACCACTCCTGTCGGTCCCCTCGCCTTGCTACAATGCACCACTCCTGTCGGTCCCCTCCCCTTGCTACAATGCACCACTCCTGTCGGTCCCCTCCCCTTGCTACAATGCACCACTCCTGTCGGTCCCCTCGCCTTGCTACAATGCACCACTCCTGTCGGTCCCCTCGCCTTGCTACAATGCACCACTCCTGTCGGTCCCCTCGCCTTGCTACAATGCACCACTCCTGTCGGTCCCCTCGCCTTGCTACAATGCACCACTCCTGTCGGTCCCCTCGCCTTGCTACAATGCACCACTCCTGTCGGTCCCCTCCCCTTGCTACAATACTGCCGTCTCCCCCCTGTCACTCCCTCTGGTTCCCATCCCCACATCGCCCCTCTTCTTTCACCCCTCTGCACCCCCGCCCCCCCTCCCTCAAATCCCCTCCTCTCCCCTCCTCGCCCCCCTCCCTCCCTCCCTCCCCCTTTCCCTCCCCGCGCTCCGTGCTCCCTTTGGCCGCTGTGCGCGCTCCACGTGCCTCCCTCCGGCTGCTCTCATCCCGCCCGTGATCTCAGCTTTTCCTCCATCTCCACCCCCCCGTCCCCTCCCCCCCTGCGCTCCGTGCTCCCCCCTACCGCAGGTCGTACTTCCGCTGTGCGCGCTCCACGTGGCTCCCTCCGCCTGCCAGCGCTGACACTCGGCAGGAGGAAGCAGGAGCGGCGGCGTCACCCGCCGCAGCAGCAGCAGCAGCGCCACCCGCAACACCGACGCCACCATCCACTCTTGCGGCAACACCAACAGCGGCATGCATGCAAGAGGCATCCACGCAAGAGGCAACGGCAGCAACGGCAGCAACGCGTTCAGGCTCAGCTGACCAGCGTGCTGCTGCCCCGGCTGCTGCTGCTGCTGATGATGATGATGATGATGCTGGTGCACCTGCTGCTGCCGGTGCAGCTTCTGATGCTTATACTACTCGTTATTCCAAGGCTGATCCTCACGCCGCTGCTGGTGCACCTGCTGCTGCCACCCCAACAGCCGCCCCGTCCCCCACTGTATTCCACCCCTGTCCGGCTCGCAAGCGGGTCGACTGGCACCTATTACCCCTCACCCCTGCCGCCCACCCGTCACCGCTGCCGCCCAGTTTCGACCAGGCAGCGCAGCTCGGGGCGGCAGGCAAGCCGGGCGCGTCGATAATTTTCTTCCGAGTGACGTACTTGAACACGCACAACCACAGTGAGCCGCCCATTGGGCTTCGGATCGAGCCCTCTCTAGCACCGGATGCTGCTGCTGCTGCTGGGAAAGGTGGGGTTTGGGCGGAGCCTGCAGTGAAAGCAGAGATGGATCGGTGGCATGAACAGCAGCCGCAGCAGCAGCATTTGTTGCAGCAGCATTTGCAGCGCTTGCTACAGAAGCAGCAGATGCAGCAGCAGCAGGGGCAGCAGCAGCAGGGGCAGCAGCAGGAACATGTCTCTGGGAATGGCCCATTGCAACTCCCGACAACAGTGCACGCAGCACAGCACGCACCACCATATCCCCGGCACCAGATGCAACCGCCGCCACCCCTGCCACAACAACGCCCACAGCAGCAGCAGCAGCAGTGGCAGCAGCAGTGGCAGCAGCAGCAAGAGGAGTGCAGAGTGGTGTTGCAGTCAAATTCCGCCCCATGCTACCTAAACCTACAGCGCTCGCCCACTCCCACCTCCCTGGGCAAGCGGTCACGTGAAGCCGACTCCTCCTTGATATCAGAGCCGTGCCTGCCCTCTCATGCTCCTCATGCCCGCCACGCCTCTCACGACTTCGATTTCAAAACATTTGATGCCAGTACCTTTGACTTTGCAGCTTTTGGCGCTTCACAAGGATTCCAAACCTTCCACCGGCTCCAGCCGTCCCCTGAATCGCAATCCACTCGTGCGGGTTTTCGTGCGGAAAACACCTCTCCTGCCCCTCACACGTCTCCCTCCTCGCACGTGTCTGCCGCATCTCATGTATCCTCTGCCTCTCCCGCCTCTCAGCCGTCTCATGAATCTCCCGCCTCTGCTGCCGCGACTCACTCCTCTGCTGTCCCGACTCACTCCTTCACACCGCCCAGGCCGATCAAAGTGAGCTTCTCTCCTCCAGTTGACCGCGAGTCCCCGTGGAGCAACAGCGGCGACCAGGGGGGGTGGAAGGATGCTGGAAGGTGCACTGTGGTGCAGCCGCTGCCGCAGCAGCTGCAGCAGCAGCAGGAACCGCAGCAGCAGCAACTGCAACTGCAGCAGCAGCTAACACAGCAGCAGCAATGGCAACCGAAGCGGCAGCCTCTTAATCTGCTCGCGTCGCTCACCCGTCTGGCTGTTTCCGCTGCTGCCAACACTGCTGCTGCTCCTAACAGTGCTGCTGCCAACAGTGCTGCTGCCAACAGTGCTGCTGCCAACAGTGCTGCTGCCAACAGTCCTGCTGCCAGCACGGCTTGCGAATCTGCCCCTTCTTTTGGAGCCGCTCCCATCGTCCCCGCATTCCCATCCCCAGCTTCCCTTTCAGGCACCGCCCTAAACGCCCCTTTACATGCTCCGTTGAATGGCCCTGTAAGCACCCCTGCGGACTCCCAACCTCTGCTGCTCACGGTGCTCCGTGCCAATCTCTCTCGTGCCGACCTCCTGTCAAGCCCCGGCAGCCACGGCAGCAGCCCCATCAGCAGCACCAGCTGCAGCAACAGCACCGCTGGTAACCGCGCCGGGAACGACAACGCTGGGAATAATGCCAGTTGCCACAGCTGGAGCAGTGTTGTAGCTGGAAATAATGCAGGTAGCCACTGGAGCAGCGAGAGGAACGACAGCTGGCGCGCCATGGCGGGCGGCGGCAGTGACTTTTACGGGCGGCCTATGAGCAGAAGCGGCAGCGCCACCAATGCAGCTGTGGCTGCTGTGCCTGCCCCTGTGACTGCGGTTGGTGACCAGTTTGATGACTCAGCGCCACGTCAGCTGCAGGGACTACTGGAGGATATAGTGCCACGTCAGCTGCTGCATGGCTCGCGGCCACTCCCAGGAGCAGCAGAGTACCAGGCACCGGCTGCAGCAGCAGCAACAGCAGCACCAGGGGGGAGAGCGTTTCAGATCCCAGCCACATCAGTAGCACCAGATGCAGCACCAGCTACAGCAGCAGCAGCAGGTGCAGCAGCTGCAGCAGCAGCAGCAGTGTCGTTTCAGGCCACCGTATGTGCTGCCGTGGAAGCAGAGCGGTCAGCGCAACGGCAACTGTGGGCTCCGGTTGAAGCTCAAGCCCCGGCTATGGCACCAGCTGTGACACCAACTGTGACACCTGCTTTTGCGCTGACCGACCAAACGCTTCCTTTCCTGTCGCCTCCGCTGCTCCCTACTGTTGCCCACACCCCGTACCAAGCAGCAGCAGCAGCAGCAGCAGCGACAGTAGCAGCAGCAGCAGCAGCAGCAGCAGCGACAGTAGCAGCAGCAGCAGCAGCACCGCATTGCATCTCGCCTCATACCCTGCCGCAGCCACTCGTTGCAGAGCTGCCGCCCGCTGCAGTGCCGCCGCCCGCTGCAGTGCCGCCGCCCGCTGCAGTGCCGCCGTCCGCTCTTGTGCTGCCTACCCTGGAAATGTGCTGTCATTGTGAATGCTGGCAATCCCAAGGGGCGGGGCAGCAGCAGCAGCAGCAGCAGCAGCCAACGGTGCTTCAGATGAGGCCCAAAGCTCCAGCCCAAGGGCGTGTTCAAGCTCCAGCCCAAGGGCGTGTTCAAGCTCCAGCCCAAGGGCGTGTTCAAGCTCCAGCCCAAGGGCGTGTTCAAGCTCCAGCCCAAGGGCGTGTTCAAGCTCCAGGTCAAAGGCGTGTTCAAGCTCCAGGTCAAGGGCGTGTTCAAGCTCCAGGTCAAGGGCGTGTTCAAGCTCCAGGTCAAGGGCGTGTTCAAGCTCCAGGTCAAGGGCGTGTTCAAGCTCCAGGTCAAGGGCGTGTTCAAGCTCCAGGTCAAGGGCGTGTTCAAGCTCCAGTGCAAGCCAAGCCAGAGGCTGTTGTGATGGAGATGCCAGCACGATTTCAGACTTCTCAGCTAGCGATGCAACCACAGCCCCCATCGCCGTCTTTCACCACTCCTCCTCGCACCATTCCGCTCACCGCAGCGCCAGTCGCCACGGGCGTTCTTCCAAGCGCCACTGCCCCCACTAGCGTGCATCATCCCGTCGCCTCTCTCCCTCCAATCCCCAACCACATCCCCAACCACATCCCCAGCCACATCCCCAACCACATCCCCTACATGACTAATCCGCAAAATTATCCACGGCAGCAGCTCATGCCACATCAGCAGGTTGTGATGCCAGGTCAGCGATTGGATGTTTGCCATCCAGCCATTGGAGGGGCTAGCAACGGCGTGACTCCCTCTGCCGGTGCTTCTGGTGCTGCTGCTGCTGCTGCTGATGCTGCTGATGCTCCTTTCCGTGCTAACCATACCCATGGCATCACAGGGCATGGGCATTCCAGTATGGGCCACGCCCATACCAGCATGAATCACACTCGAGATTTCATGGGTGTGGCTGGCAACATGAGTTCTGTCTGGGCCTCTGGTGCCGGTCTGAGCCCTGCGCTTCGAACCGCTGCTGCTGGGCAGACCCCGGCTGTGCGATGCACTCGCACTCTGAGCATGGGGCTTGACGGCTTGGGCGGCATGGGTTGTGTGGGTGGCGCGGGCGGCACGGGCGGCATGGGGGAGGATGAGTTCCTGGTGGAGGCGGCAGCGTGGCTGGCAGAGCAGGGAGGGCTGGTGGCGCTTGATTGGCTGCCGGATCTGTCAGGCTGATGCCAGAGAGCCAGGGGGTTGGAGTGAGGAGAAGGATCGATGGTACTTAAAAAAGCGGGAGATTTGAAGCCCGGAGATTGATAGATGTTGAGCAAAGGTGCTGTTTAGGTTGCCGGAATCGGCAAGCGGGTGGATGCGTCGAACTGTACATGTGTGATACTCAAGCGTGTGTGCGTGTGCGCGCTTATAAAGAGTGCTGTGTGCGTGATCTAGGTTATCTCGTTAGAACACATCATGATGTATTAGCTGTTTGTTGGAAATATAACCGGTTCTGGGTTTTGGCTTTGTGTATGTCTCCGAGGAGAATTATCAATTGCGGAGAGCTAAACAGCGTTGAATAAGTTCTTTTCATAACCCGTACAGCGATCACTCTCAAGCTAGGCGGGAAATGTGACAGCAGCAGCGTAAGTCTAGCAGTCCCACAGGCAAGCAACTAGGACAGCCATGGAAGCGGCTCGCCCGCCGACATGCGCGGCTTCTAGCTCACCGCTACTGTCCCGTGAGAGGGAGGAGCGATGTTTCGCTTCATACGCCGCCGGAATTCCATCATCGCAGTCGATTCGACCGCCGCATTTGATTCGACCGTCGCCGTCGCTGGTCAGCTCGCCGCTTCTCCCGTCGCGTTCCGCGTTTCGACCTGCCGGAATTCCTAGTAATAAACGACGACCGTCTAGCCGAGACGTTTTACGTCAAGCAGACAGACGTGGACGTACCCCGGCGATCTTCTCAGCGATTCAATCGTCAGTCTCCGTCATTTCTCCGTTAATTTCGCCGTGGAATGCTCCGCTTATAGCTGGCGGTGCGGGCAGACTCGTTAATGGCAGCCTCGTTTCCCGAATAAGCGCGAACGGTCCTGTAATAACGAGGCGTTTTGCAGCCGCGAGACCTCAGCCAATAGCGAGGCCGTCTAGAGCGAGACCTCTTACACGGCCTGTCCTATCGAGGCGTAATGGTCGAATTGACGCGATTCGCGGCACGGATGGCGGGAGCGGCGACCGCGAACGATCGGTGGATGAGAAGGCTGGCGCTACAGCTGCGGGCAATGCTTCCGACAAACGGACGCGCGATAGTGGCGAGAACGACTATAACGGGGCTGCTAATAACGAGGATGGTTCAATCGGGGACGCGGCGCGGCGGATCTGGGACGTGAGCGGGCGCGATCTGGTGCAGGTGGCGCTGGAGGCGAGCCGCGCGACGGACGGCCCGCGATTCCTGGCACCGTGCGGCGTGCGACGCGAGCTGCCGCTGCTCGTCTACTTGCCAGGGCTAGACGGCACGGTGAGACGACGTGGTAGGGGCGAGAGAAAGGGGTACGAGGTGCGGGGTTGAGGGTTCTACATTGTGTGCGTCGCGAGTTGCCGCTGCTCGTGTACCTGCCGGGGTTGGACGGCACGGTGAGAGGAGGTGGTGAAGGGGTGGGGCACTCGTGTACCAGCTAGCGCCAGCTCACTCGTTGTGTGAGGCGCCAGCTGGCGATATTCTAAAAATTCTAAAAACTCGCTCGTGTACCTGCCTGGTCTAGACTCTAGAGACGGCACGGTGAGAGCAGGTGGTAGGGGCGAGCGAAAGGGGTACGGTGTCTGGGTTTCCGGGTTTAGGCTTTCGCCTGAGGTGACTTTTAAGGCGCATAAAATATTTTGCCTGAGGTGTCTGCCGGCTCCCTCTCCTCGGGTACCTACTTGGGCTGGATCACACAGTGATAGGAGATGGTAGAGGTGAAGCAAAAGGGGTACGGTTTGAGGGTTGATGGTCAAGGTTCCGGGTTTTGGGTTTACAAACCACATCGCATGATGCGCCAGCTGGCGCTGTGTGTGCACCTTCGGGCCCGGGCTGAAGGGCACAGTGAGAAACGGAGATGGTAGGAACGAAGTGAAAGGGGTACGCTTGTACTTGCCCTTCTTTCTGTCCCTTCCCTTCCTTACGCTATGCTTCGACCATCACCTACCCTCCTCCCCCCATCCCCCAGGGCGTTCCCTTGTCCTTCTTTCTGTCCCTTCCCTTCCTTTCCCTTCCTTACTCTGCAGTGCTCACCCTTCCACACCCACCACCCTTCCACTCCCACCACCCTTCCACTCCCACCACCCTCCAGGGCGTGTTCCTGGAGCGCCACCTGGAGGGCTTAAAGCCGTGCTACGACGTGCGCTGCCTCTGCATCCCCGCTTTTGACACCTCCTCCTACGCCAATCTCGCCCAGCTGTACGTGCTCTCACTGGTTGACCTTTGAGTCGACTCAGCAGTCATCTCATCTCATGCTGTGACGTGCGCTGCCTCTGCATCCCGGCTGCTGACACCTCCTCCTACACGCGCCTCGCCCACCTGTACGTGCTCTGCTCTGCTCTGCTCTGCTCTGCTCTCACTGGTTGACCTTTGAGTCGACTCAAAAGTCATTTCGTGCTTTGATGTGCCTTGACTCTGCATCCCGGCTCCTGACACCTCCTCCTATGACCAGCTCGCTTAGCTGTACTGTACGTGCTCTCACTGGTTGCTTTGGTATGGCTGCAATAGTGATTGAGATGGCGGTAGTGGCTTTGAGTGATACGGCTGTATCAGCATTGACTGATACAGCTGTAGTAGCACTGGTTAATATGGCTGTAGTGACACTGCGTGATGCTGCTGTAGGGTGCTGCTGTGCTCCTCTGTTCCTAGGTTGTCACACATCTCACGGCATCTACCTGCCTCCCCACTCTCTCAATCCCCTCCCTTTCCCCTCTCCTTCCTTGGCACTGCAGAGTGGCGAAGGGGCACCTCACTGCCCCTATTGACCCCTCCCCGCTCCCCCCTCCTTCCCCTTCCCCTGCCCCACCCCTTCCCCATCCCCCTACCCCTCGCCCCCATCTCTCCACACACCGCAGAGTGGCGGGTCTCATTCAACAAGAGCAGGACCTGCGAAGGGAGAGCGCTCTGCTGCAAGCATCCACAAGTGAAGAGTTAACTCCCTGATGTCCCCCCTCAACGCCCCCCTCCCCTCACGCCCCCATCTCTTTCCTCCGCAGAGTGGCGGGTCTCATTCAGCAAGAGCAGGCCCTTCGAACAGAGAGCACACTGCTGCAAGCGTCTTTGGGAGCGACAGCCATGGGATATGCCTCTGATGAGGAGGTAGTGTTTCGAGGGGCAGGCACAACTGCAGCACCTGCACCACCAGAAGCAGCAGCAGCAACAGCAGCAGGGTGTGCAGCAGTGACAGTGGTGGCGGAGTCGTTTGGAGCGGGGGTGGCGATCTCACTCGCTGCCACCCATGCCCACCTGGTTGCACACCTCGTCATCTGCAACAGGTGGGCGTCGGTGGTTGAATGGGGGTGTGGATGTGGGATGGGTGTGGGTGTGGGTGTGGGTGTGTGTGTGGGTGTGTGTGCATGTGGTTGTGTGTCGATGCGTGTGCCTGTGTGCGTGTGTGTGTTTGGGTAGGTGTGCGTGTGCGTGTGTGTGTGTGTGTGTGTGAGGGGGGGTGTGCGTGTGCTTGTGTGTCTATGCGCATGCGTGTGTGTGTGTGTGTGTGTGTGTGTGTGTGTGTGTGTGTGGGTGGGTGGGTGTGCGCGTGTGTGTTTGTGTGTGTGTCTATACACGTGCGTGTGTGAGTGTGTGCGTGCATGCGTGCATGTGTGCGTGCGTGCGTGCATGTGTGCGTGCGTGCGTGCATGTGTGCGTGCGTGCGTGCATGTGTGCGTGCGTGCGTGCATGTGTGCGTGTGTGCGTGCATGTGTGCATGCGTGCGTGCATGTGTGTGTGCGTGCGTGCATGTGTGCATGTGTGCGTGCGTGCGTGCATGTGTGCGTGCGTGCGTGCATGTGTGCGTGCGTGCGTGCATGTGTGCGTGTGTGCATGCGTGTGTTCATGTGTGTGTGTGTGCGCCCCCCATGCAATCGCCATGCACCCCAAACGCACATCTCTTCTCACATCCCTTCCCAACCCCGCCTGCATCTCCCATCCCATCACACCTCCTCTCCTCTCGCAGTGCCAGTGGCTTTCGCCGTCAACCAGCCCTTCAGCTCGGAGCCTTGCTGGTGAGCCAAACCCTTCGCTTCTCCCCTTCGCTCCCCTAGTCCTCCCCTCCTGTCCGCTGGTGAGTCGAGCCCTGTCCTCCGACCGACCCCACCACATCGCTCCCATACACGCGTCTCCTCTCGCAGTGCCAGTGGCTTTCGTCGCCAGCCAGCCCTTCAGCTCGGAGCCTTGCTGGTGAGTCTTGTCAGAAGAAGAAAGGCAGGCCGAAGAAGACTGGTCGGTTCTGGCAAACCTTCCACCTCGGAGCGTGGGCCGTAAGGAGCGTTCCTTGTGGGCCGTAAGGAGCGTTCCTTGTGGGCCGTAAGGAGCGTTCCTTGTGGGCCGTAAGGAGCGTTCCTTGTGGGCCGTAAGGAGCGTTCCTTGTGGGCCGTAAGGAGCGTTCCTTGTGGGCCGTAAGGAGCGTTCCTTGTGGGCCGTAAGGAGCATTCCTTGTGGGCCGTAAGGAGCGTTCCTTGTGGGCCGTAAGGAGCGTTCCTTGTGGGCCGGGGCCCTTTCCACCTAGGAGCTCTCCGCCCTTGCCATCCCTATCCCATGCAACGAGGTGACTTTTGAGTCGACTCAAAAGTCACCTCGGGGCCCTTCCACCTAGGAGCTCTCCGCCCTGTTTTTTAAGAATTAAAAAAAAACAGACTCCGCCCTTGCCATCCCTATCCCATGCACCCCTTGCTTGCCCCTGTCCATGTCATCCCATTCCTGTCCGAACCCATCCCCACCGCTGTCCGCCTCGCCTCTCATCACAGGCACCGCTTGAACCCAAGATCCCCTTTTTATCACTGCTCTCCTCCTTCGCCCGCACGCCTCTCCTCCCTATTTCCCTTAACTCCATCATCCCCCATCCCCACCCGCATGCCAGGCACCCTTTGCACCAGATGTTCCCTTCCTAGCGCAGTTCTCCTCTTTTGCGCTCGCGCCTCTCCTCTCTGACTGGGACAGCCTGGGGGAGCGAGAGAGGACCCTCATCACCCCGCCCTTCAGGTGCTTTTTTGTGTTCGCCAGGTGCTTTCTGGGCCTGTCAGGTTCTTTCTGCGGCCTTCAGGTGCTTTTTGTGTTCGCCGCCAGGTGCTTTCTGCGCCTGTCAGTCAGGTTATTTCTGCGCCCTTAAGGTGCTTTTCGTGCCTTTTTGTACCCCTTCACCCCGTCACCTTTTCATCCCTTCATCATTCACCCCTTCACCCGTTGACCCCTTGACCCCGTTCCCCTTTCAGCCAGTCCCCTCTTCTCCTCCTTCCCTGCACCCCCTCCTTCTTCCACCCTCTCCCCACCAGCACGACGGTGCTTCCAGCAGCAACAGTGGCACGCCGTGTTGCCATGATGTCAGCGCTACAGCCGTCTGACGCTATGCTACAGTCCATCACAGCCAGCACTCTCCTGATTGCCAGGTGGGCACTCAATGCTTCGGCTGCCCGCCCAATTCACCGCTACAGCCGTCCGATGCCGTGCCACAGTCCGTCTCAGCCAGCACCCTTCTGATTGCCAGGTGGGCGGGCGCTCTCAATGGCTATGCTACAGCCGTCCAAGGCCGCGCTACAGTCCATCACTCCTCGTTGCAAGGTGAATGCGTAAGGACTACGCTACAGGTGATAACTGCAGCGCTACAGTCCATCACAGCCAGCACTCTCCTTGTTGCAAGGTGTGCTCCCTGGCGTGCCTCACAGTGAACCACATCTGTTCTTTGCCACCACCACCCATCTGGGCCACTCTTGACCCCGCTCCACCCACCTTCACCCACCCGTTGCACGCATGGACCGGCTGATACCATCAGTGGAGGCATGCGGCATGTGGCGTGGCAACGTGCCTGTGATGAATTGAAATCACACTTGACCCATCTTCACCCAACCATTGCATTGTGTGCATGCAGTGGGGAGGACCGGCTGATACCATCAGTGGACCCATCTTCACCCAACCATTGCATTGTGTGCATGCAGTGGGGAAGACCGGCTGATACCATCAGTGGAGGAGGCATACGGGCTGGCAACATGCATCCCATCGTGCTGTTTGAGTCAACTAGTGAATGAACCTGGAATCCCTGTCTTGACCCATGTGGACCCATCTCGACCCATCTTCACCCAACCATTGCATTGTGTGCATGCAGTGGGGAAGACCGGCTGATACCATCAGTGGAGGAGGCATACGGGCTGGCAACATGCATCCCATCGTGCTGTTTGAGTCAACTAGTGAATGAACCTAGAATCCCTGTCTTGACCCATGTGGACCCATCTCGACCCATCTTCACCCAACCATTGCATTGTGTGCATGCAGTGGGGAAGACCGGCTGATACCATCAGTGGAGGAGGCATACGGGCTGGCAACATGCATCCCATCGTGCTGTTTGAGTCAACTAGTGAATGAACCTGGAATCCCTGTCTTGACCCATGTGGACCCATCTCGACCCATCTTCACCCAACCATTGCATTGTGTGCATGCAGTGGGGAGGACCGGCTGATACCATCAGTGGACCCATCTTCACCCAACCATTGCATTGTGTGCATGCAGTGGGGAAGACCGGCTGATACCATCAGTGGAGGAGGCATACGGGCTGGCAACATGCATTCCTTCATGCCGCATCAAGATTCTGCCCTTCTCCGGCCACACCGCACTGCTAGAGGTGAGCCACACGGCCCTTCTGAAAGTGAGTCTCACATGTCTTAAAGCCCATCACCAGTGGAGGAGGCATACGGGCTGGCCACGTGCATCCCATCGTGCCGCATCAAGATTCTGCCCTTCTCCGGCCACACCGCACTTCTGGAGGTGAGTCTGAGACGTCTTAAAGCATATCTCCGCCCAAAAACCATATAGATGAGCCACATGGCACACGCGGATCCCCCCCCCTTTTTCATCCCTCCCCCCCCTCCCCCCCATCAGACGGGTGTTTCTCTGCGGGACATTCTGGAGGAGAGTGGAGTGCTGCTGCCCTTCGCTGCCCTCTGCTGCCTTCCCTCTGCTGCCCCCACCACAGCAACCCTATCCCGTTCACCCCCCTCTCTTGCCCCCTCCCCTATCAGGCGGGTGTGTCTCTGCGGGACATTCTGGAGGAGAGTGGAGTGCTGCTGCCCTCTGCTGCTTTTCCTCTGGACCCTGTCCCTCCCTCTGATGACGAGCAAGAGCCTGCTTATAATGAGGATGAGAGACCTGCCAATAGCGAGGGTGATGAGTCTGCTAATAGCGAGGATGGACCGACAGTGGATGCTCACGAGAGCACCACTGCACCTAGCAGTAGCAGCAGCAGAAGCAGCAGCGACAGTAGTAGCAGCAGCAGTGCTTCGTGTGCAGCTGAACCTGCAGCGGAAAGTGCAAGCCGAATCACGTCTACAGGTTTTAGTGAGCCTAGCATGGGGGAGATTGGTATCGGCAGCACCCGTGGCAGCACGGCTTCAAGTGCAGCAGTCGAAATCTCAGGTGAAAGTTCAGGTGAAAGTTCAGGAGTGGAGGGTGCGGGGTACAGCAGCAGTGAGGAGGAGGGTGAGTTCAGCATGGAAGGGAAGGACTGGGATGATGCTGACGTGGCTGCTGTGCTTGGACTGGCCAGCTCTGCTGCCACGGATACTGGACCAATCACAGGCCCCGATGCTGATGCTGCTGCGTTCGCCTCCAATGATGCGTCGAAAATGTCAAGAAATGTGGGAATTCTTGCAGAACCTGGTTTTGAGTCGACTCAAAAGCTGTCAAGAAATGTGGGAGCTTCTGCAGAGCCTGAACTTGAGAGTGTTGCTGCTGCTCCCCCTGCTGCTGCTTTCCTCCCGAGAGGCCAAGAGGAAGCGATTTTTAACTCTGCTTCTGCTGTGCTGGCAACGGCAACTGCTGTGGCAGCAGAAACAGCAGCGGTCGTGGCAGCGACTACAGCAGCAGCCGCTGTGGCAGCGGCAAGAGTGGTGGCAGCAGAAGCATCAGGGGTGCCAGCAGCAGCAGTGGCAGCGGAAACAGTAGCAGCAGTGGCAACAACAACAGCAGAAGCAGCAGTTGCAGTGGCAAGAGTGGTGGCAGCAGAAACAGCAGGGGTGCCAGCAGCAGCAGTGGCAGGAGCAGCAGTAGGAGCAGAACCTGAAGCGGTGGCAAGACCAGAGATTGGAGATGCTGGGATTGAAGCTGAAGGGGGGGAGAATGGAGATGTGTGGGTGGAAGTTTCTCGAAAGCGGGAGGAGGCGCAGGGAGAGGTGGTGCTTCGGGAATGGTCTCAGGTTCGGGCGGCGCAGACTCGGAATGACAGGGAATTGGCGCAGGTTTGGAAGGGGAAGGAGAAGGGGAGAGGGGATCCAGGAGGGGGCGGGGCAGAGGGAGGGGAAGGGGGGACAGGAGGAATGGTGAGGAGCTTACAGGAGTGGAGCAAGGGGAGGAGGGAGCAGCGGAGAGAAGAGAAGCAGGGAGGAGGGAAGGAAAGAGAATGGGAGGGGCTGCAAGGACTGCAAGTGGTGCAAGAAGAGCCAGTCAAGAAGGTCAAGCGGGCCAAGCGTGGTTTGAGGCTGGATGGGTACTATGAGATGATGAAGGGCAAGGGAGATGCCGCATGGGCCGATCGCATGTTCCCCCAAGCTGCCTCTGCTTCTGAAGCTGCCATCTCTTCTCAAGCTGTCACTGCTTCTCAAGCTGCATCTCCTGCTCGTGAGCCCTCTCAGCCAGCTTTGGTTTCATCCCAAGCTGCTGTCTCGGTCTCATCCCAACCCAACGAGACAGCATCTACTAGCAACGGGCGTGCTGTCAGGGGTGCAGAGAGGGGTGTGGAGAGCAGTGCAGAGAGCAGCAGTGGTAGTGGTGCTGCTGCTGCTGCTGCTGCTGGTCCTGCTGCTGATCGTACTGCTGCTGTTGCTTCTGCTTCTGCTGCTGCTGCTGCTGCACGTTTTGCAGTTCCGGATGCAGCTAATGGAGCTGCACTTACGGGTTCTACTACGGCCACAAGTGGTAGTTCCAATAATAGAGCTGCTAATAAGCGGACGGGCGTTGCTGCGAAAACTGGTGGTAATGCCACTGGCGCTGTCGCTGCCGCTGGTGATGCTCCATCCACAGAGAAAGCAACGCAACAGAGGGGTGGGGCGGGGGTTGGGGGGGAGGTGAGGGGTGCGGGGAGAGAGCAAAAGGAGCAAGGAGGGGAAGGGGGAGGGGAGGGGCGGAAGTACATGGGTTCAGTGGAGGGGCGGGCAACGGCAGGGGAGGTGGGGCGGGCATTGGAAAATATGCTGGATGACATGCCGCAGTACCGCCTCTGGAACTGGGTCGCACGGCCGCTCTATGTTGGTGAGTGGGGGTGTGTGTGTGCAGTCCATATTCTTGGTGTGCTACGTTGTGTGTGTGCTCTGTGTGCTGTGCTGTGCGAGTGCACTGGAGGGCATGCCGGATGATATGCCTCAATACCGCCTCTGGAACTGGGTTGCACGGCCGTTCTATGTTGGTGCGTGTGTGTTTGTGTGGGATATACATAGTCACACCCCCCACCTGCACGGCTGATGGCAGGGTTGGAGAAGATCCCTCGCAATGAGGGCAGGCTGCTGTTTGCTATGCCATTCCACACCATGCCATGCCATGCCATGCCGAGGCTCATTTCATCCCTATCCCCCAAACCCCACCCTCCACGGCGCATGGCAGGGTTGGAGAAGATTCCTCGAAACGAGGGGAAGCTGCTGTTTGTGGGCAACCACACCATCTTTGGTATCTATGACATGTGCGTTGGTGGGGGGGGGGGGGGGAGGGGGGGGGGGGAAGAGTGGTAGGAGATGAGGGTCACATTAAGGCGCCTGGTAGTCCCCAACCCTCTGGAAAGGTAGGCTGCTGTTTGTGGGCAACCACACCATCTTTGGTATCTATGACATGTGCGTTTGGGGGAGAAGGAGGGGTGGGAGGAGGCGAGGGGCAGAGGGGAGGAGGGAGGCGGGGAGAGGTGAGGGGTGTGGTGTTCCTCCTCGCATGTGTGTAGTGGAGGCAGAGCGTGTGTGGTGTCCCGTGCGCATGTGAATGGCCCGGATCTCCTTCTGGTGCTTGTGTGGTGTAACTTGTAACTCCATACGTGGTGCAGGCGTTTCAGGCATGTGGTGTCCCGTCCCAATTTTCCCTCTCGCAATTCTCCCCGCCAGGCCTCTCATCATCCGAGACATTCACATGCGCACGGGGGTAACGCTCAGAGGGCTGGGCGCGCCAACCCGCATGCTTCTCTTGAGTGTTGTGGTGACTGTGTGACTTACTGTCCCCCTGCCAGGCCGCTCATATTCGAGACATCCACATGCGCACGGGCGTCACTCTCAGAGGGCTGGCTGGGCGCTGCTCTAGTTTTGAGACGTCTCAAAACCAGGCCGCTCATATTCGAGACATCCACATGCACACGGGCGTCACTCTCAGAGGGCTGGCTGGGCGCTGCTCGCCCCCCTCTAGCAGTATCCACTTTTCCGTCCATTCATCAGTTTGACTGCCTCCTACTTTCACAACCCCTCCCCTTCCCTGGCAGGCCGCTCATGATCCGAGACATCCACTTGCGCACGGACGGGCGTCACTCTCAGAGGGCTGGGGTGGGTGGGGGGACTGCCGTTGTCCCTCCTCACATGCCTCCTCACAACCCCCCCCCCCCCCCCCCCTTCCCTGCCAGACCGCTCATGATCCGAGACATCCACCTGCGCACGGGCGTGACTCTCAGAGGGCTGGGCGCATCTCCTCCCTACTGGCAGGGCTGGCCTGGCCCCTTTGCATGTATTCATCAGTGCTTCCTGCTTTCACCCCCTTCCCTCGCAGGCCGCTCATGATCCGAGACATCCACTTGCGCACGGGCGTGACTCTCAGAGGGCTCGGCGCGCCTACCCACTGGCAGGGGCCGTTTGCCGACCAGTTCACCAAATACGGCGCTGTGCGGGTGAGTGAGATGGGTTTTGAATCGACTCAAAATAGGGCTGACGGATAGTATGATATGAAAGTATTGGCAGGGAAACTTTGTTGATTAGTTCACCAAATACGGTGCCGTCTGGTGGAGGTGAGATGGTGGGGGTGGTGATTTTGATGGTAGTGGCAGGTTGTGTTCTCAGTGTCTAAGGAGAATCTGACGTCCCTGGCTGGCAGGGTGAGATGATGGGGATGGGGATAGGGATAATGGTGATGCTGGGGATGGGGATGGGGATGGGGATGGTGGTGCTACTACCTCATGCGGTGTCTGGCATGCTTACAAAGGTACACCTCGCTCTTCTCCCTCACTCCCGTTTCCCTCTCGCTGCATCCCCTCACTGCCTGCCCCACACGCCTTTCCCCCTCACTTCAACCCCTGCCGGCTGCAGCTGTCCCCCCAGGCATGTTACCGACTGCTAAGAGAGGGCATGTTAGCGACTGCTAAGAGAGGGCATGTTAGCGACTGCTAAGAGAGGGCATGTTAGCGACTGCTAAGAGAGGGCATGTTAGCGACTGCTAAGAGAGGGCATGTTAGCGACTGCTAAGAGAGGGCATGTTACCGACTGCTAAGAGAGGGCATGTTAGCGACTGCTAAGAGAGGGCATGTTAGCGACTGCTAAGAGAGGGCATGTTAGCGACTGCTAAGAGAGGGCATGTTACCGACTGCTAAGAGAGGGCATGTTAGCGACTGCTAAGAGAGGGCATGTTAGCGACTGCTAAGAGAGGGCATGTTACCGACTGCTAAGAGAGGGCATGTTACCGACTGCTAAGAGAGGGCATGTTACCGACTGCTAAGAGAGGGCATGTTACCGACTGCTAAGAGAGGGCATGTTACCGACTGCTAAGAGAGGGCATGTTACCGACTGCTAAGAGAGGGCGAGAGCATATTGCTGTATCCGGGGGGAAGGGGGGGAGGAGGGAAGTGACCTTTCAGTTGTCGCACTGACTTACCCTCCTCCCTCCCATCATGCTGCAGGTGTCTCTGTCTCCCCCCGCGTGCTACCAGCTGTTGAGGGAGGGGGAGAATTTGCTGCTGTAACCGGGAGGCGGCAAGGAGGTGGGGAAGCAAAAGAGCGAGAAGTACAAGTTGTTTTGGCGCGGCATCACTGACTTACCCTCCTCCCTCCCCTCACGCATCTGGTGTCCTCCCGGGAATGCTATCAACTATTGATTGAGGGGGAGAACTTGCTGCTGTACCCGGGAGGGGGCAGAGAGGTGGGGATTTGGCGGGGCGAGAAGTACAAGATGTTTTGGCACGACACCACTGACTTTCTGCCAGGGGTACCTTTCAGTCTCAAACGCTCAAAGCCCACCCTTTCACGCCCCACCCTCACCACTCACACCTTGTCCTCCCCACTGGTCACAGGTGTCCCCCCGTGCGTGCTACCAGCTGTTGAGGGAGGGCGAGAACTTACTGCTGTACCCGGGAGGCGGCAGGGAGGTGGGGAAGCGAAAGAACGAGAAGTACAAGCTGTTTTGGCGGGATACGACAGACTTTGTGCGCATTGCCGTGCGCTGTGGCGCCACAATTGTTCCGTTCTCCACCATTGGAGTGGAGGACGCTTTTGATGTGCTCATGGACCCCGAGTGAGTGCCTTGCATGCCTGCCTCTTCCTTTTCTGGTGAGAATCACTGCAAGCTGTTTTGGCGGGACACGACTGACTTTGTGCGCATCGTCGTGCGCTGTGCTGTGGTATGGCGCCCTCATCGTGCCGTTCTTGACTATTGGCGTGGAGGGTGCTTTCGATGTTCTCATGGACCCCGAGTGAGTTGAGAAGAGGGTCCGACTGAGTGAGGGAGTGGCTTTCAGGTTACCCTTTGAGCGAAAGCCTAACTTGCAAACCTCAGGGGACTGGGGACTGGGGGCTGGGGGCTGGGGACTGGGGACTGGGGACTGGGGGCTGGGTGAGTGAACAGCTTGCGTGTCCGCCTCTCTTGCATGACACTATTGGCGTGGAGGACGCTTTCGATGTGCTCATGGACCCCGAGTGAGTTGGGGGGGAGTGAGTGAGTGGGGCTGACTGGGTGAGTGGCTTGCAGGTGAGCCTGCCTGCAACCAAGTCATTGCTCCAAGCACGACACTTAAATAAATGGGACGCAAACTGTTCCATCGTGTGTGCTGGGGAGAGAAGTTCAAGCTGTTTTTTCTCTCCTGCTTCCCTGCTACCCTCCCACACCTGCTCCTGGCTCCACAGGCAAATCATGTATTTTCCAATAGGCCCCTGGTTGAAGCCAGCCCTGCAGGCAACGGGCATGCAGACGCCCCCTTTCCCCCTTGCCTCCAATGCCGGCCTGCCGCCTCGCCCATTATGCTCTTCACCACTTCTCCCACCTCTACTCATCTTTTCCTTCCCACCCGTGCCAAACCCTTCGCCGCAGGGAAATCATGTCCTCCCCAATCGGCCCCTGGTTGAGGCCAGCCCTAGAAGCCACAGGCATGCAGACAGTCCCCTTCCCCCTCGCCTCCAATGCCGGCCTGCTGCCGCGCCCCCAGCGCCTCTACTTCCTCTTTGGCGACCCCATCCGCACGGACGATCTTGATCCCACCATCATACGAGACAAGGAGGAGTGCAGCAGGATATACCAGGTGGGTCAGCTTCTCTCTTTCCCTGTCTGCATGAGGTGCCCCTGTCTGGCTGTGCGGCCTGCTGCCGCGCCCCCAGCGCCTCTACTTCCTCTTCTCCAACCCTATCCGCGCTCATAGCATTGATCCTACGATCATACGCGACAAGGAGGAGTGCAGCAGAATATACCAGGTGGGTGTGCTGCTGCTCTCTCTCTCGGGGACCCAATGTGGAATATGCCATCAGAATATAGCATGTGTGCTGCCTGCTGCCTCGCCCCCAGCGCCTCTGCTTCCTCTTCTTTGATTAGTGACAAGGAAGAGTGTAATAGAATATACCAGGTGTGTTGCATTCCCTCTGATCATACCAGCAAATTGTATCACATCTATTGCTGCCTCGTCCCCAGCGCCTCTACTTCCTATTCTCTGACCCCATCCCCATCTTCTCTTCTCTCAGTCCATCACCTCATCACCAGATGGTGCGGGGGAGAGTGGAGGGTGGCATAGAGCAGCTGAAGGAAATGCGCCCAGGGCAGACCCACTTGCCTTGCCACCACCCGTACCTTCTTTCTCAAAACTCCTGCCGTTTCACTCCCCCACGCACCGCTGGTGCGTGGGGGAGTGGAGGGCGGAATAGAGCAGCTCAAGGAATTCCGCCCAGGGCAGACCCATTTGTTCCACCTGTACCATTCACCCCACCACTCCTGCCATTGTCCCTCTCCTCACCCCGTCATGTGCAACAGATGATGCGCGGGAGTGTGGAGGGCGGAATAGAGCAGCTCAAGGAAATGCACCGGGCAGACCCATTTGCCACCATCCCTGCCATTCCCCCCACCATCCTTGCCATTCCCCCCACCGTGTGAACAGATGGTGCGAGGCAGGGTGGAGGGAGGAATAGAGCAGCTCAAGGAGATGCGCCGGGCGGACCCGCTGCGAGAAACGCTTCCCAGAATAGCGGTGAGGGGAGGGCGGTTGGGCCTCGTTGTGTGGTGAGGCATGTTTTTCTTTGAAAGGGCATTCAGTCCAGTTTCTAGGCGCCTCAAAAGTCAACGCACTGCGAGAAACACTTCCCAGAATGGCAGTGAGGGAAGGTTGGTTGGGTCCCCCATGCATGCCATAGCCCCCAGCTTCATTGATCCCACAGGCCTTGGCCCATAAAAATCATATCCCTCAGCTAGTTCCACTGAAACCATAACCCTGTGGTTGGCTGTGGTTGGGTGTGGTTGCAACATGCAGGTCAACCTTTTGGACGGCTGGGATGGCACCTGACCCGGGCGACGACAGCGGTTGGATTTAGAGATCTCAAAACCACGTCAACGGTTGACTTCGGCACACTCTTTTCATTAACAACTCATAACACCTGCCCTGGCTAGTTTTCAGTAGTCACTTGTATTTTCCTGATTAAGTGCATTTCGATCGCCTGTGAAACCCGCAAACCCACAACATCCCCGCTGTAACAGATTCAGACTTCCAGGCGAGAAATCTCACGTACATGCGCTTCGGGTGGAGAGGAGAACACTGCTTGCATCTGGCAGTGCCACCGACACTAGTTACCGTTGAATGAGGATTCGGTACTAGGGCCCGGGTTGTTACTCAAATGTGGTCCTAAAATAAAGTGTATGCGTAGTACCACCTCACCATCAACACCATACACAGTCGTGCTTGGTTTGTTTCCAGCCTCAGAATAGAAACGGATGATAATTCACAAACCATGCACAACGTGCTTCATTGCCTTGAGAATGTGTGTCGAAACAAACTTAAAGCTCAGATTTCATACTTGTGCGCAGAAAGGCACACTGCGTTGCTCGTTTTGCAAGGTTAGGTTGAGGAATTGGGAACGTGGGGGATACCGTCGTAGATAGCCCCACGCTGTGTATAAGGGCCGGGGAGAGACCTGTAATGCTTAGACATATCAACACATTGCCTAATTTCATTATTTTCATCTCGGGTATCTAGAAAAGGGAATACTCGACGCCCTGGACTACCTTTCCTGAAACGCACATGAAGGCCCCGTTCGATTGCACTTCATTCAGGAGCACAGCCCCACCACAGTATCCCGAATCGGCCCTAGGGTTTCCGAGCCTCGGGTCACTACATGCCAGACGCAACTTGATGCCCTCAAAATCTAAGTTGATTTGGATTCAGATTTGACAGGTGTATAAACAGCCAAACCTTGTACAGTGAAAACCGCGTTAGGACCAAATAGAACAACCAGGGAAAAATCAGCAGTAAATACACAACTGTCCAAAACTGCACGTCCTGTTTTTCGGGAAAGGCACAGTTCATTTTCCGTTTTTTTTTTTTTTTTTTTTTTTTTTTTTTGAATTTTCGACCCCAAAAGTACCCTCTGCAGAAAATGCATCCCTACACCTGGTCCGCGGTATTTTAACCGCGCGAAAATGGGTAGCAAGATTTTGGATTATCTGGCCGTGGTGAAGATAAGGGTGCGAAATTTCTGTCATTATTTTCACCACCGAATATCTGAACAGCATGGAAAGTTTTGAGAGCACTAGTCAAAAGGAGCAATTCGGCTCTTTTCGCCATCTGGAATGTTCCAGAGTCGGGAAAGTAAAACCATCGACGGTGACGATTCTTTTTGGAAAATTCGGATGGGGAAATTCGCTTGCCACGTGGACGGCGCCAGCTGACATATCAAAAAAAGGCTTGGCAATCTGCAACTTGGTTCGGTCAAGTGTGAACAGCGATTTCTGGCCACCCAACAAGAAACGCCCAGCGTGCCGACAAACTTGGTTACGATAACGGCGGTTAAAATACCGCGGATCAGGTGTACAAAAACAATTTAGTAGTTCAGCGGGAAATTTGAACCCCCTTGGGGTTAGGGTGAAATATTGTTTAGACTTTCGAGAATACCCCACCAAAGTGCACCGGCCCCGCTGTCGTTTGAACACCAAGCGTGAAACAGAACTCTTCAAAGTATTTTTTGCCCCTGGAACACTGTTCTTTACCAAAATGGCAACAGTGTTTGGACCGCGGTCCGCAGCGGAAATTCCCACACCAGATTTGTAGGTCACCTCGATCGCCTAAGTATCGAGCGAGATATCCTCGATCGCCTAAGTATCGAGCGAGATATCCTCGTTTATGTGCTAGGTAGTGCTCTTGGACTGAAGGATAGGAGCTCTCTGGATTTTGGTCGAATTGCACTGTGTAGAATGAACTCTGATTTTCAGTATGAAACATGCAATACAAAGCAACTAGTTTTATAGCATGCTATCAACATCGAACCGCACAAGTAACCTCGAACCGCGGTACACTCGCGAATGTTCGAGTAACATTTCGAAGGGGTGAAATTCGGAACTCGAATTTCACCGAATCGAATTCTCCTTGGGTCTCGATTGTTCTTGTGCTGCCATGTGGCACCGAAGTGCAGGTTCTTCCGTTGTCAACCCAACATTCTTGGAACCTGCAACTCTTCCATGAAACTTCCAACTTGCAGCTCACTCAACCGTGAGCTTCATTCGGTGGTTGGGGGCAAACCTTGCCTCACGCAACCTCCAACACTCCCCCTTGCACCCAAGCCACTAGGTGTTTAATCCAACATGCTCACAACATGCAGGGAATGAGTCCTTAGGGAGTGGTTTAGTGAGGAAATCCGCGGGTTGCGCCTTGGTGCTTATGTAAGTGAGTGTGACCCCACCTTTCTCAACCACCTCACGAATGAAGTGATGCTTCACTTCAATGTGCTTGGTCCTCCCGTGAAGGACCGCGTTGTGAGCGAGACTTATGGCGGCTTGATTATCAACAAAGAGAGGAGTTGGGTTGGGCTGAGGATGCCCAAGCTCCGCTAGAAGACGCCTTAGCCATATCGCCTCCATGGCTCCTTGCGTGAGCGCCATATACTCCGCTTCCGTTGAGCTTAGAGCGACGGTGGGTTGCTTCTTGCTTTGCCAACTCACGGCTGCCCCAAGCAAGGTGAAGACGTACCCGGAGGTACTCTTGCGCGTGCTCGGATCTCCGGCGTAGTCCGAGTCGGTATAGACCTTGAGTTCAATTGCGTTGACGGATGATGCGGCGCAGGATGCGGCAGCAGCGAGCACGGCATTGGGCGTCGAGCCAACAGGCCCGGCAGGCCTTTCTGATCATGGCGACGATATCAGAAAAGACTGCGCTGGCTGTTTCTGCGGCGGCTACTTCTGCGGTGGCCACGGAGGCGGCGGCGGCGGCGGAAGCGGGGTAAACGGCGGAGACGGCAGAGGCGGCGGGGGGCTCACACCGCGGTGGGGTTCCGTGGCGCGGCTGTGGCGGTGGCTATGGCGGCGGCGCGACGTGCTGCTGATGAGCACGGCATTCCTATTCTTCTTTGTGGCATTCAACGCGCTGCAGAACGTCGCGACGAGCATCCACGGCGCGAGCAACATCGTCGCGCTCTCCATTGGCGTGCTTTACGTCGTAATTGTCGTCACCGCGCCGCTCGCGCCCTTCCCCATCCGCCTCTGGCGCGCATGCGCCGCCATCCTCGTTGCGCAGACGGGATTCTGGGCCTTTATCGGGTCCAACGCGTTCAATATCAAGTGCGTGCGTGTGTAGTCAACCACGGTCACGTTCACGCGTGCACTATCAAATGCGTGCATGGCAGTGTAGTCTCTCTCTCTCTCTCAGCCGGTAGCATAGTATTTTTGGCGACGTCTAGTCAAGCCCACGCTCCTGATGTAAGGCTTTCAATGTATTCTTTTTTATCTTGACGCTGCCGATCATCACATTGATGCTCTCAATTCTCCCAATGCTCTCAATGCTCCCGATGCTGTCAATTCTCTTGATGCTCGCAATTCTCTTGATGCCCGTCCCAGCGGTACTCCCGTCCCGTTTTGTCCGCTTTAACCCGCCCAATGCGTTCACATGGCACCTGACACGTGGTACGTGGCAGGTGGCTGCTTCTGCTCGCGTCGTGCTACCTTGGAGTCTGTTGGTCCGTCGTCTGGGTGGCTCAGGTGACGCTCTCTTTTCGCCCCTTTCTACATTTTCTCATGCGCTCATTGACTGAGTGCCGCAAATGTGGCTATATTCTCGTTTCCCATAACTGCTCTCAATAGTTACTGCTGGGGTTTGGAACAAATCATCCTCTGTCCATGCCATCTCGTTTTCGCTACACAGGGAGTGTACCTCGTTGCTGTTGCGGGTGTCTACAGTAAACGTTACAACAAGCCTATGGATGTCGTGGTGACCGAATTCAACTCCCTTTTTGGCGGAATATTTGCATTTAATCAAATTGTAGGAAACGCAATCACTTTCACCGTCTCGCAACTCTCCTTCTCCTCCTCAACCTCCCCCTCCTCCTCCCCGTCCTCCTCTTCGCTTCCTCCCACCACCGTGACCATACTCATTATAGTGCTCGGCATCTGCCTCGCTATAGGCACCTTGCTCTCATGGCTCCTCCATGACCTCCAACCAATAGAGGACTGCCACGTGGACGACGCGAGCATCGGCCTCGGAAGTCCTGTTGCCACGCTGGCTCCCTGTCCGTTGATTTCATCAAGCAAGGCGCCTTCAATCGCCACCGTTGATTGTAAAGACGAGGATTTGCAAGTGTTACAGGAGGAAAGAAAGGAGGCAGGTGGGGGGCGGGAGGGGGAGGAGGAGGAGAGAAAGGGAGGGGGATAATGTGAACCAACGCGTTGGGACAAGAAAGCCGGATGTGGAAGAGGAGGGAGAGGGAGAGGTGGACCAGAGGGAGGAAGATGGACAGGGAGAGAAAGGGGAGGGTGGGCGGGACGAGAGGTGGAGTGTGGTTGTAGGAGATTCAGAGACGACAGACAACTCCTCTGGCGTTTCATCTGCTACAGAGGGGGGTTACCTTCCCACCGCAACAGATAGTGGTTCATCAAGCCTTGTTCGTGCAGGCAGCCCATCCCAACCGCGCCGTACCTCTCTGCAAGCCCGTTCCTTCTATCCTAACCACTGCACCCCCCTCTCCATCTCCTCTGCCACCTCTCACCACTCCT